AGGAATTGATCATTGATTTTGGACGTCAAGGATGTTCCTAAGGAGTGCGTCATACACAATGACAAGGTAGAAATTGTCACATCATACAAATACTTGGGCACCTTTTTCGATGACCACCTCAAATTTGATGTGAATACTGAGTGTATTGTGAAGCGGGGTCAACAGAGAATGCACCTTCTTCGCTAAACTGAACTCTTTCTCTGTCAGGCCTTTCATTCTTTGTCGTTTTTACCAAGCATTCATTGAGAGCCTTATTTGTTTTTATTTTATCTGCTGGTTCCATAGCCTTACACTGAAAGACAGGAACAGCCTGAACAGCATTGTTAAAACCTGCTCCAAGATCATCGGCGTGAAACAGAGACTTAAATTCCTTCTGTAACCAACAGATTCTGCGGAAAGCAGAGAGCATTCTGAACTCTCCAGGTCATGTACTTTCACGTGAATTTCGTCTGTTGCCATCAGGGCGAAGATATGCTCTACCTGCTCAAAGAACTAATCGCTTTTCTAAATCATTCATCCCTTCTGCACTCAAACTTTTCTTGAAAGGCTTTTAACTTGATTATTTATTTATTTATTTATTAATGTGATGCTATGAACTATTTATAGTGTAAATTGGAATTATCCACATCTGTGCTCCCGGGTGTCTCTGTGTGTTTTCTTCTTGTATGTTCCTGCCTGTGTACATGACATAAACTGCTGTTCATAACCAATTAATAAAGTTGTTGATTGATTGATTGATTGATTGAGTTATGTCGATGAAAATCTTAGGTCACATGCTCCTCCAACAGTGCAACACAATAAAACAGATTAAATAGTGCAAGTAAATACAATATTTACTTGCAATAATACAATAAGCCTTCGTCCATATGGTATGTAATAATGCTCTGTGTGATTCTCCCTCTCGGACTAATTAAAAAAGACCTTCGTGAGATCTCGATGTCAGGGTGATCAAAGGAGGAAATGTTTATTTCTGTCTGTATCACTTTACTCTGTGTTGTAACAGGAGGATCAGGCGTTTTAAAAAAATAGCCTTTAAAGTGGATCCTCTAAAGCTCCCTCACTGCAGCTCTTAATTACAGATGGCAGAACTTGCTTAATCCCCTCTTGATGAATAAGAGCTCTCCGCAGAGAGAGTGAATTCTCATTGAACCGCTGTCATTAAGGGTGCGTTCACACCTGCCTTGTATAGTCCGGTTGAATCGAACCCTGGTGCGTTTAGCCGCTTGGTGCGGTTCATGTGGGTCGGTGTGAACGCAGTCCGAGACCTCTGAAGTGAACTAAACAACCGGACTCTGGTCCGCTAAAAGAGGTGGTCTCGGAGCGCTTGCTTACGAACTCTGGAGCGGTTCATTGCTGGTGTGAACGCAGTCCGCACCAAAACATAGGAAGCGTAGTATTTACGTGTCACAAGAGCGCGGATGTCTTCAAAAATCTTTAGCGAAAGAGTCTTTCAAGGCATCCGCGGTTGTTTAGTTAAAGAGTGAAGCAGAATGAAGTGTTGAACAGTGTCGTGTAAAGTAACAATTCTCCGTCAGCTACATAAAAGTAAGAACACCTGTCGTCGGTGAAACGCCCCTCCTTACTGCAGAACGTCTCTCATTATGTGTTATAATGTTTTTTAACGGACGTTGTCTGATTATATAATCATATGCGCGGGCTGCTAGTGTCTGTTGATCTCCAGATTAACAGCAGCATGAGATTGGAATAACCTGCCGAAAGTGCCGATGCTCCATGGCGGAGGCTCCGGTAGAAATTGCCGGTGTTGTGTCAAATTATGCACCCCCCATCATTAAATATTTGGGGTATTTTGATGGTACTGCACTATCATCAAAATACGGAGCGAAAAGTTTAACCACAAGAATCAAGACTATAAGAGCTACCACTGAGCGACTCATAGCCTGTAAATTACCATTACAAAAAACCTGGACGTTTAGTTTTCGTTTTAAGCATCGTTTTAAGGTCTCAACGTTTCATTTACAAATGCGCGTTCCCTTGACAAGGGGTGCATTTCATGATGGGGGTGCATAATTTGACACAACACCTGGATTTGCGTTTTTACCCCCGTAATGTCTGACCAATGGTTGAACAGCATTTCCGTGCACATGACTTGTGTTTAAAGTTTATGGTCCGTTTGAGTTTTGCCCGTGTGAACGCAAACCGAACCTTCTGAAAAATGAAACACTGTAACAAACTGTGGTCTGGTGCGCACCAGAAAACGGACTATTGGTGTGAATGCACCCAATTTTAAAGTAACCTTCCCTGGTTGTAGAGTTCTCTAAAGTGGGTGCTTATTAAAGCTGTGATGGAGACTAAGTGGACAACACAACAGACTCCCAGTGCTTCAGAAAAACACTTTAAGCTGCTGAGTATCTGGGAGTAACATTTTAATGTGAAAAGACAGAGCTACAGGAACACATTGATCTGCGTCTCTGTGTTCAGTTATCCTGCAGTCTGACTCATTAACAGCCGTCAGTTTAACTCTCAGTCAACAAAATGTAAGCTATAAGAACAACAGCAAACTCCAACGAAAGCTCCAATTGTCCAATCACTTTTATTCAACCCGGTATCACGGCAAGAAATGAACATGTGACGATTTACCATGCTGGGAGACGTGAAGATGTCACGATTTCGTCCCTTCAAACCTATGCTTCAAACGTGACAGTATTGTTAACTCCATGTTAACCAGTGGAGAAATAACCGGAAATGCCAAGCAAATGCTACCCCGACGTAATGATTTATTTTTTAATAGTCACACTCGATTACGCCGATTTTCTTGTTGCCCCAGCTGGTCGACACCTCTTTTAGCATAAACAAAGGCTACATTAATGTATTACATCGATGTTAATCCATGCGTGTGGATGTGGAACCGGAAACAGACGTAGGCAAGATCCTAATAATAAAATAATACAATTCAATAACGTGCTTTAACCACCAGGTGTCCCTTTCTATCAGCTGTGCACCTTTATGGTGTAAATACAGCCTATATACCAATTGGATCAAATATAAAAGGCAGCCGAATTAGTGTTGATACTGCAAGGAGACGTATTGTGTGAAAAGAAATGTAAGATGCTGTTTAATTGCTTATATATTTATGATCCACGTCACATTTTCAGTGTTGGCTGCAGTTCCTCATGTTTGTCTAGAAGTCTTCTCATCAGGGCTCTATAAATAGAGAACTACGGCAGATATGTAATATTTAATGCAGCCGAACCGTGTATTACAATGCCGTTATGTGATGACTTCCAAAGAGTAAAGCAAGCACACTCGGAATAAAGTATTATTTTATTTTTAAAAAACGTTTTCAGATTTCACATCACATAAACACCAAATCCCAGCATGCATTGCGGCTAAACCATCCAATCATCGAGCTGAGGATCTTGCCTACGTCTGTTTCCGGTTAACATCGATTTAATACATTAATGTAGCTTTTGTTTATGCCAAAAGAGGTGTCGACCAGCTGGGGCAACAAGAAAATCGGCGTAATCGAGTGTGACTATTAAAAAATAAATCATTACGTCGGGGTAGCATTTGCTTGGCATTTCCGGTTATTTCTCCACTGGTTAACATGGGTTAACAATACCGTGTAACTGTCACGTTTGAAGGGACGAAATCGTGACATCTTCACGTCTTCCAGCATGGTAAATCGTCACATGTTCATGTCTTGCCATGATATCGGGTTGCTTTTATTATATGTTGTGGCATACTGTATGCTGTAATCCCTTTAAAATTATACTCTAGGGATTTGTATCAATTTTCGCAATACATTAGTAGTACTTTACATATTTTTTGACATACTTTAACGACTGCTGAGTTTTTACAAATATTTTTGGCATACTATACTATGACTTCCTTATATTTTTTCGACATACAATACTATTACGTTTTTTGAATTTTTCTAGATACTATACTATGACTTGTTTTTAATATTTTGCTACATACTATGAGTTTTTTAAAGGGCCCATATCATGCTTTTCCAGTTATTACCCGTCCCTTTGTGTGTTATGAAGGTTTTTCTGCATGTAAACGGTCTGCAGAGTCAAAAACCCTCAAAGTACACCCTGTAGCGAGTAAAACTCTAACACAGAAAATACCTGTCTATGCTGCCCCAGAACGCCCCGTTGGAGATTTCTCATTTTCCATTGTTTGATTCCTGGGTACAGTGAGGTGTGAACTCCCAAATCATCAACAAATGACCAGATTGGCTCAAATGGACCAATCCGCGGAGCACCTCACACACCAGGATCCCTTGGCTAACTAACAGGGAGTCCCCATTGACTTGCATAGAGCTCCCTGAACGTTGGTAATAGACGAGTTGGGATCGCGGAGAAATGCTCTCAGCAGACCCATTCTCACAGCGTTATAAACCTTTTTCTTTACTCAATATCAAGCCACACTTATTGTTTTTACTTCGGCTGCGAGTGTTTGTGTGCTCAGGATGAGTTTCGCTTGTTCTCGCTGTATCGTCGACCCGGAAACCTGTCTGCTCCTCGCAGCAGCTCGCAGCAGTGGCGAGCAGCAACGAGCCTCGCAACGTCTCGACCAATCAGAGCACACTGGGCTCACATGGAGGGGAGGGGGGGGGGCAGGAGCTCCATCAAGCCGTTTAGGACAGAGAGTGAATACACATACTATACAGAGATGCTGTATGAGACACCAATGTGAGTTTGGAAAATTACACAATTTAAATCTATTCTAGAAGACCTCAACAATGGAAATATGATCAGTAGAAATGGCCATGATATGGGACCTTTAAATATTTGTTTACATGTGACTTCTTATTGTTCAACATATTAAATAATTACTTTTTTCATATTGTTGATAATAAAGGGAGCAATAATGGGTTTAAGTAGAAGTTGAATACAAGAACTTACATATTTGGAAATGTTTTGAGTGAGAGGATTTACCTTTGTTGTTTCAACAACAAAAAAACTTTCTATTATTCATACTTTATTAGAAAATGATGAAAATATTCATAAAGAATAAACAGAAACTGAGCCGAATGAAAAGCAGAAACATCACAACCTTTATTGTTTATGTTGACGTCTGTGTGAAAGTCTTGAACATTAAACAGAAGTGACCTTGAGGTCGTCAAACTGTACAATAAATACAGGTGAGAGTTTCACCTGGACAAAGAAAGGATCCAGGTGACAGCAACATTTTCTACATTAAACACAGTTAACTGAAGAAAAGTATCCACTTTACATGAGATCATAGTGTACACAGTACAATAGATAATATATCATGTTTTAATAACAGTGTTATTTAATCATCCCGCTCCTCTCTAATTTCATTGATGCTGTTCATTAATTGAGATTTGGGTATCTGACAAAAATATTCAACATTATAAAATCCCTTTCACTGGGTATTCCTTTAAAATATGAACAAACTTTTGGTAAACCATGTGTCCTAAACATCTCTAAAAAAGCAATTTAGTATAATACAGTTAATTAGGAAATGAGACGTTGTAAACAGATCACATAGATTTCCAAACAAATATACAGTTTGACACCAGTCATAGAGGCAGCACCATGTTCAGCATTTTGGAGAGGGACTATTTGCATGTCTTTCCCTCGGATAAACTTCAAAGTTTCTCTCAAAGTTATTAACAGGGTGAGAGTGGAGAAGCCATCAAGAACCAATGCATTATAACAACTTTAAACAATGTTGGTCGAAGGTAGAGTTGTGTTAAATTCCACAGAGCTGCTGTTTGTGAGCTAGCTAGTGGTAGCAAAATCATTACAGCTGCCCAATTAACCCAATTAAATAGACAATGGCTTATTTGTGGCTCTTGTGTAGTGGTGTGTCTCTTCAAGAGTGGGGACAGAAACACATGTATGACTTTTATTTGTTACAGTGCTTCGTTAACTGCCGGTTTTCGCTCCTTCCGTTAGCAAAAATGTGTCAACACTCAACTTTTTGATCGTTATAAATATACCATCGAGTAAATCAAAAGCACATTTTCCAAAATATGGCTGTTGTTCTTCATATAGTGCCTTTAATCTGATCAGCCAATCAGGTTACACTAGGGAGCTGAATGCTGGAAGGAGTGGTGACACACACACACACACACAGTCTTTGGATCACATGTTCCAGCCTAATCCAATGTGTGTAGCCAGCAGGTAGCACATGCCGATCATACAGGTCATGATCATCATGGGAAATCCTAACCTGCAAGAAGAAAGAAACAAAACATTAATTTCATGAATTCAAACATCTTATTCCACAGTTGAGACATTTTATGATTCACTTAACTTGGATTGTTTTCCATGATTATTGCCTGTGTACTTTACACACAGATTTCTTTACATGACTTTCTCCTTGTACTTTTTCGACAAACTAGAATAAGACTATTTTACATATATTTTGATATTTAAACCTCAACATCGCCCTTTTGTATGACGTCATATTCATTCATTCAACATTGTCTGCATGTGTTAATTCATGCTAAATAATGAAACTTAACGCCAATTGTGCTAATTGTCCAACAAATTGTCCAACAAAATATTGGTGTCTGTAAATGCTACTAGTATACAAACTGTAGTATCATATAATGTCCTTTGTTTTCTGTCATGTTTGTATTAATGTTTGGAACTAATTGAAGCAGGTCACCATTGTAAAAGAGGTCTATGATCTCAATGGGTTTTATCTGTATAAATAAAGGTTTTGAATTGAATTGAATTGAAAATGCAAGTAAGCTTCCAGCAGTTTCTACGTGCTTGGGACCCGTACTATACATTTCTATCATATAGCTCAACACTTCCAGGTTCACACTGCTGGCAAGTAAACTTACGTGCCACACCTTAAAGATAATCATCACCTTTGACGAATAAACTAAAATGTCTACTGTCCGTTTCCATTTATTGAAGTGCTTTCCATGTTTTTTGTATTCCTCAATTAGCATGGTGAATTTAAAATGTGCCCTCAGATAACTCCAGATCTGCAGATGGTTTGTTATTTGGACGAGCACCGTGTCCTACATGAACACATGGCTGCTCGCGGCCCAGAGATCTGTTCGCCCTCAGTCACTGACACGCATCCAGAAAAACCGTTGGAGATATTCACTGATTTGTAAAGTTTATTAGTTAAAACATGTATTTCATTGCTGTTTTGTATATAGTAATTTGGTCATTATTTGGTGTTGTTATTTTAATCAGGCTACGGGAGAAATGGATTACATGTAACAGGTTCCAACACTGACTTCTGCAGCACACACAATGTTGGAAGTGTGTGTGTGTAAATATTTAATAATTGTGTGTCAGTGAATTACTCTTAATCGCTGTCACTATCCCTTCATTCACATGGAAACCATTTAGACCTTTCCTTTCAATTTGCATGTGGATATGTCAAATGACTGCTCGACTTAGGGGCTAATGAAGCACTTAGGCTAATGAGTCCAACATGATGTGGTGCTGAAATGTAATGTAACACAGTCAAAGTGTGTGAGTAGAAATGAGTTGCCAAGGGTGATTATCAATTATCAGTATGTCGCTATCAATTATCAATGTTAACCATTACGATTAACACCGTAAGAGGGTTCGGGTTGGACATTTGCAAAGTTTTATCTTTAGTCAGTAAAATATATCTCGTCAATTATTTCTATATCGGCAAAGTACTGGCCTGAGTGGTTTTCCCCGGTGTTTAACAATGATTGAGAAAACAATCTGCCAACCCGTTGTTTATTTGCTTTTATGGCATTCTGAAAAAATAAACAACTCTAGGTTAAGTACCTATGACATGCATGTGTGTGCACAATTAATCAATGAATGAATCAACCAACCAACCAATCAATGGTTCAAATTGTATAGCCTCTTTCCAACACCTTCACTTGTTTCCAGAAGGTATTATTATCGTGATACATTTTAGCAGCGGCACTCGTTAACTGTATACAATTGTAACACTGTGCAACTGCAAGTATTATTTTTTGAGACAGTTTTGATGGACAGAAATAACGCAAAAGGGAGTCTAACACCATGGCTATGGTTCCTTTAAGAGTCTGAGGATACATAGAGGTCCTCTCCATGGTGCTGGTATCTTTACAACCTACAGCCATTGACATGCTCCGATTATCAACCCTTTCACTAAGTGGTGCAACCCCCCAGGCAGAGGAATCAATGATATTAAACCCTGCAGAGCTTTATAGTCATGTAGCATTTAGCTGAGGGTCACAACAGCTCAGTGGGGTGCATTGATCTGCAGTGGGAGAATAAAGTTCACATCATACTGTGTACAAAAAGACACAATGCCATTACAGGAGACCAGAGGAAACGCACTGTTAACATCAATATCATTTCACATTTCTCTAAAACATTTGTGATGTAATGTAAGTTAACAACTCCACTAACTACATAACAAATGTTTGGTCATTTTTTTACAGCCTCTTTTATGCAGAAATGTTGGAAATGTAACTTGAGACCGCTGTGATTTTGGTCTCTGTGAAACAAATGTGAGGAATCTCTAAACTCTGATCATCATGAGACAAGCTGCGGTCACCTCTATTTCTGCTGAGTCATGCTCATTCTCCCCATCACAGGTGCAGTGTGGCGGGACGGAGGGCAGAACAAACCGTTTCCACAGTACAGCAGAAAGAGGTGCGAGGTTCACCTTGTCTTAAAACTCCCATCATACCTTGTGATCGCACACGTTGATTTCATTGCATGTGATGGGAACTCTTTGAAAGACTCGATGCAATCTCTGAGATGTTTTTGAGATGTTTTTGAGATAAACAGGGGGGATGGCGCAATGCTTGACCTGTGCTGGTGACTCAGCAGCATGACTTGCAAAACGTGCAGTGTTTACGCCTCAGGGTGAAACAGAAGTATTATCTCTATCTCCAATCTTTGGTAGAGCCAAAGAGAGTGTGATTGATTGCTGTAGAAGACTGAGGTCAGACATCGTGACAACATCAGGCTTTCAGTATGTGCCCTGTGAATAACCTGCAGAACAACATTTGTATACAATACACAGCTCGGGTATTTTTTTCTCTCTATGCATCAAATAACTGCATAAAAAATACGACTAATCTACAAGAATGAATCAAATAAAAGCCCTTGTTCGCCAGAGGCCACGCAACAATGCAACATTGCTCATCATTCGACGTTCACGGCGCTAACCACGTTTCACAATGTCAAAAACAACGTTACTCACACATTTTGCCAAACGTTAACTGCATACCACGATGTGAACCCCAACCTTTCTACAACCCTAAACAACTTTTCACAAACATTTCTCAACGTTAACCACTTCACGCAACATTAATGTCATCACGCAATGTTACCTGCATTTGACAAATAATAACCATGTGTCACAACATTTACTAAGTGCCATAACATCTTACAATGCTAATCTTTACTATGTGATTAAACCACGAACATTCTGCATTACGATACTACACAAAAACTGCTTCTGCTTAAGCATTCGGCGAGTATGGATGAAATCACTAAAATGCCGTGCTGAACTCTAACAGCAGTTATTTGCAACACGAAGCTACAACCACTAGCAATGTCTCAAACTCTGTTGAGCATCATGTACCATCGTTTTTCATCCCTTCTCCCCAGGTCAACAGTTTGAGGAGAGGAGGATGATCCGGGCCAGGGGCATGATGGGAGCAACACTATCTATAGTCTCTGTGATGGTGATGGTCTATCATAAGGCCTTCGGCTCATCTGGCTCTCTGTATAATGGTGGGAGTTTCTCTCATCAGTCCCAGCTGCCCTGAGCAGCAGGCAGACCTCTCCTCTCTTTACCTGTCTGTGTGAACACCTGAGACCCCAGAACTCACTAACACACTATTACAGAGAGACCTTTCCTCTCTTTACCTGTCTGTCCAAACACCTGGGACCCTCAGCACTCACTAACAGACAATTAGAGACAGGAATGCAGCCTGGAGGATGTGGCCATTATCTGTACATACAGCAGCAGGGGGAGGGAGGCATACAGCATTTATCCTACTGTACCTAATGGATGTAATCATAATAATAATAACTTGGATTTATATAGTACCTTTCAGGGGACCCAAGGTCGCTTTACAGAAAAAACAGGCGTAAAACAAACAAAGAAAATGGTCAGAGACAAAACAGCAAATAAATTAGGGGCCGAAGATGTTACTAAGGTGAACGTACAGAAGTATTATAAGCAATAAAGTTGTAATTAATTAATATTATTACTACTTATTATTATGTGCACTGTCACATGCTGTACATTTTCCCACTGTAGGACAAATAGAGTATTTCTGATTCTGATATCACGGCTTACAGATCATATCCTAGACTTAAGGAAACAAATTAGTTTGGTACACTTGAGTAAATGTACTTCATGTAAATCCCACCACTTTGTTACCCCCACCTGCTGACATTCAAATGAGTCTTTCTGGTGAGACTTGTTGCAGAAAAAATAAATAAAATCAATGTTCTCGCGCTGTTTTCTTTAACGAACCTACAGATATACTTACCTAAATCAAATGACATGTAATAACTAAGTGTTTAAAACCCTAATCAGACTGTATTCATCTTTCAGCTCTGACCCCTTCTCCAACAAAGCAAACTGTGTGTGTGTGTGTGTGTGTGTGTGTGTGTGTGTGTGTGCGTGTGCGTGTGTGTGTGTGTGTGTGCATGTGTGTGTGTGTGTGTGTGTTACTCCACAGGAATGAAGGGTGTTAGTGAGCAGGTGGCAGCGTACTCAGCATCCTGCTTCAGATTTAATAACATTGTGTACGTCATTCTCACCAGAGACTTCTCAAATCAAGCCCCGAGTGTCGATTCAATCAGTGACACAGTCAATCAATAATTTTGCACAGGCTTACACACAAAGACGGGAGAACTCAACAAGAATGGATTTTTTTTAGGCCGCTAAAAGCATTCAGTGTATATAACCTGCAGTCATATCAAGGTCTCGCTCAAAAAAGGATTTAACAGCAGAAGACCTGAGTACAATGGGCCTTTTTTGGCAGATTATTTGCCATTTTTTCTAACTACCGGGAGAACATTGGTTTTTTCATCCTATAATAACCCTATTTTTCTTTTTTCCAGCTCTTTATCTCAAGTATTTTTAAGAATGACATAGAATTATTCCTTTATTTTTCATGGCACCACTTTCATGTCATCCAAAAGACATCGTGGATAATCACTGTGCAAATGAAACCCCTTATAATATATGTATGTATAGATGTGCTTCAGTGACCACTAACTCTGTGAAGACGCTAATCCTTTCAATGATGATAGCAATTAACGCGGATCATTATAAATATTAATTATTTGCAAAAATATCCTTTTCGACTGTTTTCCGCTGCCTTTTATTGAATAAAATAACTTGATATCTCTCACTGCCCGTCTATTTGAGCCTAATATACAGTAATTGTATTTTCTTGTATTTTGATAACTGACTTTAAATATATTTAAAAGTAATCTTATATTTGTAAAGCCCTCTGAATTGCCTCGTGTTAAAATGTGCTTGCTTTGCCTTATCTTACACACTTTGCATCAAATGTCTGCATACAGAAAGCACAGGAGCACTGTGACACTCATTTTACTGTAAAAGTACTCAACATTTCTCAGTGCCCTTACAGCGGAGAGGACACACAGAAACCTGATGACATGAACTCTTCTGTGCCAAGTTATTTCCTGTTTCTGCTGACAGACGGATCAACCTGATGTTTCTATTCAGAGTGAGGTCACTGTCACCTTTAAATTCCTTTTCCTGCTTTGACAGGAAAGAGCATCACCTTTCAAACAGGATGAGGCTTCTCACAAACACAGGTCCTCCGATATTATACTTAAGTGAAAGTAGAAGTCTGCCTATATGTTGTGTTGTGCCAGCGAAATCTTACTTGAAGAACTCGACGAAGGAGAATCCGTATCCGTGTTGTTCGGCGATTCCCGCACACACGACATTAGCGGAAGCTCCGATCAATGTGCCGTTTCCTGAGGAGCAAAACATTAATAACAAACTGTTCATCTAAATGATTTGTTAGTGAGGAACAGTACGTTTAATACCACATAAAACCTGTGGTGGAAGAGTTACTCAGACATTTTACTTAAAAAATAGAAAACTCCTTAATTGGAGATGTTACTTAAGTAGAAGTACAGAAGCTTTAGTGGAAGAATTTACCTAAAATATTAATGGTAAAAGTATTTTTCTTTCGTGTATTTGGTTGTTTTGTACTACACACACAGACAAATATGGACATGTGATACTATACAACAAATAAAGCCTTTCAATTCTGACTTTTATAAAGTTGTAGTATTTTCCGGTCTCCTAAGGGCAGAGTGTTGACAGCAGATCGATAGAGAGACCTCAGTGGAAACGTTCTCCTGCAGATCGATACTGTCACAGTGCAGAGGGTCTAACTGTAACTCTGACAGCTGTCTGACTCTGTGTCCTTCACCAAATATACTTAAAGTACCAAAAGTAAAAGTACTTGTTAGGACCAACTGCACGATCATGGTGTGATTTTAAATCTTAACCAAACAAAGGTTTTTTTCTTAAAGGTCCCCTATTATACTGTTTTTCATCAATATATTATAGGTCTCAGATATATACTGAACATGTCTCTGAAGTGTTTGGCTCAGATCGTTGCAGCATTACCCATAATCCCCTCTGTTTCAGCCCTGTTTCAAAAGTGCTGATTCTCTGTCTGTTACTTTAGATGAAAATAAGGAGCCCCTCCCCACGCCCCTCTGAGAGACATTTGGTTACAAAGAACTCAATGGTGCTCTAGGAGGAGATTCAGGTGATAAGGGGGGGTGACCTTGGTTGCTGATTGGCTAATGGTTACACAAGCAAAAAAATCATAAAGTGGCCAAAATCAGCTCATTTTCAGACAAGTTTTTATAGAAATGGATCAGGACAAGAGAGAGAGAATCTTTTTGCCTGAAACTTTCAGAGTCTCTTTCCACAGAGGGGACACATGTTGATGTAGAAGAGACATGAAGAAGAGGGGACACATGTTGATGTAGAAGAGACATGAAGAAGAGGGGACACATGTTGATGTAGAAGAGACATGAAGAAGAGGGGACACATGTTGATGTAGAAGAGACATGAAGAAGAGGGGACACATGTTGATGTAGAAGAATACATGAAGAAGAGGGGACACATGTTGATGTAGAAGAGACATGGAGAAGAGGGAGACACATGTTGATGTAGAAGAGACATGAAGAAGAGGGGACACATGTTGATGTAGAAGAGACATGGAGAAGAGGGGACACATGTTGATGTAGAAGAGACATGAAGAAGAGGGGACACATGTTGATGTAGAAAAGACATGAAGAAGAGGGGACACATGTTGATGTAGAAGAGACATGAAGAAGAGGGGACACATGTTGATGTAGAAAATACATGAAGAAGAGGGGACACATGTTGATGTAGAAGAGACATGGAGAAGAGGAGACACATGTTGATGTAGAAGAGACATGAAGAAGAGGGGACACATGTTGATGTAGAAGAGACATGAAGAAGAGGGGACACATGTTGATGTAGAAGAGACATGAAGAAGAGGGGACACATGTTGATGTAGAAGAGACATGAAGAAGAGGGGACACATGTTGATGTAGAAAAGACATGAAGAAGAGGGGACACATGTTGATGTAGAAGAGACATGAAGAAGAGGGGACACATGTTGATGTAGAAAGAGACATGAAGAAGAGGGGACACATGTTGATGTAGAAGAGACATGAAGAAGAGGGGACACATGTTGATGTAGAAGAGACATGAAGAAGAGGGGACACATGTTGATGTAGAAGAGACATGAAGAAGAGGGGACACATGTTGATGTAGAAAGAGACATGAAGAAGAGGGGACACATGTTGATGTAGAAAAGACATGAAGAAGAGGGGACACATGTTGATGTAGAAGAGACATGAAGAAGAGGGGACACATGTTGATGTAGAAAAGACATGAAGAAGAGGGGACACATGTTGATGTAGAAGAGACATGAAGAAGAGGGGACACATGTTGATGTAGAAGAGACATGAAGAAGACGGGGACAACTGTTGATGTAGAAGAGACATGAAGAAGAGGGGGGACACATGTTGATGTAGAAGAGAATGAAGAAGAGGGGACACATGTTTGATGTAGAAGAGACATGAAGAAGAGGGGACACATGTTGATGTAGAAGAGACTGAAGAGAGGGGACACATGTTGATGTAGAAGAGACATGAAGAAGCGGGGACACATGTTGATGTAGAATGAGACATGAAGAAGAGGGGACACATGTTGATGTAGAAGAAGACATGAAGAAGAGGGGGACACATGTTGATGTAGAAGAGACATGAAGAAGAGGGGGACACATGTTGATGTAGAAGAGACATGAAGAAGAGGGGGACACTGTTGATGTAGAAGAGACATGAAGAAGAGGGGACAATGTTGATGTAGAAGAGACATGAGAAGAGGGGACACATGTTGATGTGAAGAAGACATAGAAGAGGGATTAGATGGAGAAGAGGGGACACATGTTGATGTAGAAGAGACATGAAGACGAGGGGACACATGTTGATGTAGAAGAGACATGAAGAAGAGGGGACACATGTTGATGTAGAAGAGACATGAAGAAGAGGGGACACATGTTGATGTAGAAGAGACATGAAGAAGAGGGGACACATGTTGATTGTAGAAGAGACATGAGAAGAGGGGGACACATGTTGATGTTAGAAGAGACATGAAGAAGAGGGGACACATGTTGATGTAGAAGAGACATGAAGAAGAGGGGGACACATGTTGATGTAGAAGAGACATGAAGAAGAGGGGACACATGTTGATGTAGAAGAGACATGAAGGAAGAGGGGACACATGTTGATGTAGAAGAGACATGAAGAAGAGGGGACCACATGTTGATGTAGAAGAGACATGAAGAAGAGGGGACACATGTGATGTAGAAGAGACATGAAGAAGAGGGGACACATGTTGATGTAGAAGAGACATGAAGAAGAGGGGACACATGTTGATGTAGAAGAGACATGAAGAAGAGGGGACACATGTTGATGTAGAAGAGACATGAAGAAGAGGGGACACATGTTGATGTAGAAGAGACATGGAGAAGAGGGGACACATGTTGATGTAGAAGAGACATGAAGAAGTGGGATTTTGCATAATAGGTGACCTTTAACCAAACAAAGGTTTTTTTCTTAAGTCTGCTTGTCTTACCTCCAAGACAGGCCCCCATAGCGAGGGCGTAGATGAGCGGCTTCACCGGCAGGTTCACGTCTGCGTCCTGACTCAGGTTGATCAGAACTGGGATCTGTGATACAGAGAGAGACCGGAGAGGTGTCATTATTTTGTGTATTATTTTATAGAACAATCTTGTTCTTGTGTCTAATCTTGTTTCACTTCCTGTTTTATGTGTTCGAAAATGTTCGATATATATTTACTCAGTGTTCCTTTAATTAAAAGTATAAACAGTATGGTACCCCTAAAGTTGCATGCATGTTTAAATAAATATGTTTCAATGCAATTTGTGTAGCTTAACTTGAACTAATCAAGTTTGAATTCTAAACCAGATTTGTAAGAAGTAATACATGGTGGTGACTAGTCCTGCACTTACAAGGTGTGTGTGTGTGTGTGTGTGTGTGTGTGTGTGTGTGTGTGTGTGTGTGTGTGTGTGTGTGTGTGTGTGTGTGTGTGTGTGTGTGTGTGTGTGTGTGTGTGTGTGTGTGTGTGTGTGTGTGTGTGTGTGTGTGTGTGTGTGTGTGAGTGTGTGTGTGTGTGTGTGTGTGTGTGTGTGTGTGTGTGTGTGTGTGTGTGCGTGCGTGCGTGCAACATTACATTATCAGCCTCTCACCATGGTGGCAGTGAAGGGGATGTTGTCGATGAGGGAAGAGGCGAGAGCAGAGACCCACATCACCAGGATGAGCGCTATCGCCAGCCTCTGGTCCTCTGGCACCGACTGAGAGGAGAGAGAGTCACACACTTAGATAAATGCTGCCTTCACTGACACTTAAACCACCACCGATTTCAATAAAACACACTAATATGTTCGGTCTTTAGAACTGATCTGACCACAGGTTGCGTTGAGTTTTATCTCTGCACACAGCGAGGCCGATTCTGCAAAAGTGTGCATGCATGCAGATCTTTTCGTATCTCAGAATTAGTAAATGTACTTTTTGTGAAGTAAAAACTTCTTTGCAGCAATGTTGAGCCAATCATGGAATGAGGGAAACTGGATTCGCCTAAATCAATACACTGATATTTATTGAGAGACAAAACGGCCGGAGGATTAACAAAGCAACTCGCACTGTTCAATGCAAGCTGCCAAAATTAACTCTGCCCACACAAAGACGGAAGCGCTCGAACCTGGTCTCTGAGAAGGGGCGGAGCCCAGAAACGCGGGCCTTTACCCCAATCGATTACAGATGAACAGACAAAGAAACTCTGTCTGAGCGGGCAGTAAACCCTTCCCCCCACACAGAGAAAGAGTAGTCACTCATGTGAAGTTTCTCAGGTCAGCTAAGCATCAGACTAAAATATTCCTTTACACTTTTCACCACTGCTCTTGATGTAACCAGAGAGAGAGAGATGCCAGGCAATAAAGTGGTGCAGGAATGAGTACTAACCCCTGAAATAAGTCTGCATTTTTTTCACGGTTTTATGGTTGTCGGCCTGAAATAAGGTCTGTGGTTAACACAAGCTAAAGATTTTACTGTTTTGTTCTACGACATAAAATAGTAAATAGTAAATACCCCACTGGTGCATTTATGAACAACGGTTGGTAAAAAGTGTCTAAATGAGACGCCTAAACACCATCACACCCAACATTAGCCACCTATAGCTTAGCGGTGGTGAAGTGAAGTCATGTGACCGTGCTGTAATTCCTTAATAGTCCAACATTAGCTTTTTACTTTAGAAATCATAAAGTAGTGTTATTTTGTAGAGATTATCCTGCTGAACAAAACAGAAGAATCATAAACGTTTGTTTGACACAGTGATTATTTTCTCCAACGTCCAATGGAAAGATCCCATTGGCTTTCTCTCAAGGGAACCAGGGAGACGCTGCCTTCAGGGTCAGAAACCATGAGCAGCTCCACCTGTCATGTGTGATTATTATCCTTATTGAGGCTCGCTGTACAAACACAAGCTGACGTAGCTATTACTGCTTCAATTCTCTGCTAACACACGCACCTCGCCTGCTTGGTGCACACAGGCTAGAATGTGGCTAAAATTGTAAACAAAATAATTGAATTCAGAGCTGTGCAGAACAAAAGGATCAATATGCATGAAAAGCAATATCATGTCACCTGTGCACAACTACCAATTACGCCAGCTGCATGAGAGAGGATTGTTGAGATGAGATTCAAAGGGAAACTCACTTTTATAAGCATCGCTGTCTGCACTCCAATATAGTCGATGAGCTGCAGCTGCGCTAAAGCCTGGAAAATGAAAGAGGCGACGATTAACATGGAACAAAAAGAGATCTGAGGAGGATTATCTACAGGTAGGATTACATTGACAAAGGAAAAGCTATTTGTTTTTGTTTTGAGCGGCCATTAAGAAGGCCACTAAAATAACACAATTAGATAGATAGATAGATAGACAGACAGACAGACAGACAGACAGACAGACAGACAGACAGACAGACAGACAGATATATAGATACAGACAGACAGACGGACAGACAGACAGACAGACAGACAGACAGACAGACAGACAGACAGACAGACAGACAGACAGACAGACAGACAGACAGACAGACAGACAGACAGACAGACAGACAGACAGACAGACAGACAGACAGACAGACAGACAGACAGTGAGACAGACAGACAGACAGTGAGACAGACGGACGGACAGACAGACAGACAGAGAGATATATAGATACAGACAGACAGACGGACAGACAGACAGACAGACAGACAGACAGACAGACAGACAGATATATAGATACAGACAGACAGACGGACAGACAGACAGACAGACGGACAGACGGACAGACGGACAGACGGACAGACGGACAGACGGACAGACGGACAGACAGACAGACAGACACACAGACAGACAGACAGACAGACAGACAGACAGACAGACAGACAGATATATAGATACAGACAGACAGACGGACAGACAGACAGACAGACAGACAGACAGACAGACAGACAGATATATAGATACAGACAGACAGACGGACAGACAGACAGACAGACAGACAGACAGACAGACAGACAGACAGACAGACAGACGGACAGACGGACAGACAGACAGACAGACAGACAGACACACAGACAGACAGACAGACAGACAGACAGACAGACAGATATATAGATACAGACAGACGGACAGACAGACAGACAGACAGACAGACAGACAGACAGACAGACAGACAGACGGACAGACGGACAGACAGACAGACAGACAGACAGACAGACAGACAGACAGACAGACAGACAGACAGACAGACAGACAGACAGACAGACAGACAGTGAGACAGACAGACAGACAGACAGAGAGATATATAGATACAGACAGACAGACAGACAGACGGACAGACAGACAGTCAGACAGACAGACAGACGGACGGACAGACAGATAGATATATAGATACAGACAGACAGACAGACGGACAGATAGACAGACAGACAGACAGACAGACAGACAGACAGACAGACAGACAGAAAGAAAGAAAGACAGACAGACAGACAGACAGACAGACAGACAGACAGACAGACAGACAGACAGACAGATAGACAGACGGACAGACAGACAGATAGATACTCTATTGACCCCAATTTGGGAAATGTTTGCGTTGCAGCAGCATACAAACCACAAGGCAATGTACATAAGAGAAATTAAGACACAGAAATAAAAATATGACCTATATTTGGTTCATATATTTTAAATACCTCCATCAGGACGAAGAGGCCAGCGAAGAAGAGCAGCGTGGCCCACTCCACCCGATGAAGGATGATCTCAAAGTCCTGGATGTCAGCAAGCACCAAGAGCCACATAGAGCCGAGGATCGCAATCCATCCTGAGAGAGGAAGAAGAAGAAGAAGAAGAAGAAGAAGAAGAAGAAGAAGAAGAAGAAGATTTCATTTTACGCCTTAAAAATCATAAATGGTGTTTACATGTTGAGATTATTCTGCTGGACAAAACATGTAAGTATCATAAACATGAGTTTAGCCAAAGAGCTTTTCTGTATTATGGCGCTTTTCCACTGCAGGACCTAGCACGGCTTAGTACGGTATGGTTAGGCCTTGATAGGCCAGGCTCACTTTATGCTGCGTTTCCATTACAGATTAACAACTGGGGTAGTAACTATTGTAACGCAGTGTAGGTCAGGGCGATCGGCTGTTCGGTGGGCAGAGCGACACTGCGTAAAACTGCCGTGACGTAATCTTCAATGCGAACCACAACACCAAAACATCAGCCGTTAGCTGTTAGCACTCAGAGCTCACAGCTCCTCATACCTGTTCAGAAACAAGACAACAGTTAAACAAGTACAAACCACAGACTGTCTGTGTCATGGCGAATACAGTCGCTGTTTTATTTATGTCTGTATTGTGAGTTTGGACGGAGCATATACAACGTTAGCTTAGCCTGATCGATCCAATCTCCATTCAGAAAACACGCATTTTAAAAGGTTTTTCGTCTGCCGTCTTGTCTGCAGACCGGTATCAGTATGTTGTTACTTCGGCATCATTTTGAAACGTGTATTACAATAAAATCACGGTGAAATATGTTCATTTTGTTGTAGTTGTAGCCCCCTTGCCAGCGATTCTCTTTGACCATTCAGCAGTCGAGAGTTAACTAGTTTAGCATATTCAGCCCGGTTGTTGGCCCGGTAAGAACCTCGATTTTGGAGGGCCAGAAAAGAGGTGAAAAAGTAGCCCTGAGTCGGAACTACCCCTAGTGGAAAAGCAAAAGGAAGTGGGCCTGGTTTGGCCCGGCCCACTTAAACAGTGGAAAAGCGCCATTATATTCCACAATCATAAAATCCCATTGATTTTGTAGGCTTTGTAATGCTAACTTCTGGGTTGGCCTACAAATATACGTCATCACTGCACCACTCTATTTCACACTTAACAATCCACACATTATTGCTAATAATAATAATTTAGATTTTTTTTTTATAGCGCCTTTCAAGAAACCCAAGGATGCTTAAATTATTTCTAGACCTTTTTTTCATGCTCCTGATTTCTGCACATGGATCACTTAGCCTAAGTTTCATGCAAACCACAGTTGTATCTCAAACTAAAACAGATAGGCTAGAGAATAAAGGAAAAAAAAGACAAGGCGACAATCAGACTGAAGTTAATGAGGCTCCATTTTAAAGACACCTGTGAGTGAAAAGACTTGTGGCCTGTGTGCATTGATGAGATTGTGTTTGGATGGGCGCCTCCACAGGGACAGAAAACACGGCGCTGTGGGGTCATTCCCATTTAATAAATGTCACAGAGAGGGAACCTGAGCGGCGGCTGTAATTAAGCGAGCTTGTTTGGAGGCTGATGTGTCCTCACAGCGGGGGGATATGACAGCCATCTTCATTTAGAGTAAGTGTTACCATTAATGAGATGCTGTTAGGGTCATCCACCGAGCGCACATCAGAGACATCGCTGTGTCAGGCTGACAAGAGATAACCCTCCACCTCACCAACAGGTCTGCAATTACTAACATGCACAAAATATGCAAGCAGGATTTAAATCAACTGAATCAGTGGCGTATTCAGGCTGTCTGAGAGGCAGGGAGGAAAAATAAGAAGGACAGTGTGTAATACCTTTTCAAGCTTGTAGGATAGTCGAGATCAGCGGTTTTCAAAGTGTGAGGCGCACCTCCCCGAGGGTCACGCCTCACACTTCGAAGAGCTTCACGGCCCGTCTACACTACAGGCATCAAAAAATCTTGAAGCTGGGCGTATCTGAAGCTTGGGGATTTTTTGCGAGCAACGCGACCAACAACCAATCACATGAATCTCCCGCCCCCGACATACAAAGCAATAGCAATGTTAAAACGAAGTAAACTGGATATAAAATCCCCAAACAGGCGAAAACCTACCAGTTTCACCCACTGTCTCTGCCACCTCCCTCCCATGCCTGGTTCCTCCGGTTTGTATCCCGGTAAATAGTTCTGGTCGGAAAGAACCGGGTGATTTGCTACCGTAATTTCTCGTTTGGAATATGAGGAAATGAACTGCGGTCTGGCTCTCCCAGCTTGCACGCGGTTTGATTGGCTAGCGCTTGTACTGGCGGGATTTGCATAAACGGGATTTGATTGGCTGCCGCCAGCTTCGAGCAAGCATCGAGCCTCAAAAGTTGAACATTGTCCAACTTTTGATGCCGATAGACGCTCGCGATGCTTGCAACGCCTTGCCATGCTACCCACAATGCAGTTCGGCGAAGTTTGAAAATATCCTACGTCACCCCATTCAAATGAATGGGCGAAGCGTTGAAAGCATTTTTTGACGCCTGTAGTGTAGCCCAGGGGAGGTGCAGCGTGAGAAAAAAATAATGAGAAACAGTTAAATCTAGCTAGTTAACTTCAGCTAACTTTATGCGAGCGGCAACATGGATCGATTTTTTGTGAAGTTACCTAAAGTGAGAGAGGAGACAGCGTTTGGCAGAAAACGTCACTTGCACACTTGTGGCTGTCTGTGGAGACCGAGTTCCCCCACCTCGCCAAAAAGGCTCTAAAAGTGCTCATTCCCTTCACCTCCGCCTACCTGTGTGAGTGCGGGTTTTCCGCATTGACTTTGATCAAAAGCAAGTACCGGTCAAGCAGGGGCGGATCTACCGGGGTGGCTCATCGGACATTTATGAGAGAAAACATCTAATGTCCGAGTGCAAGTGAATGCAGCACAAGACGCGAGCCTTGTAACCCCTCCCCCGGCCCTTGCACGAGCGAGCAAATGTGATTGACGGCGATTCCATTTGAACGGGACGGCGCAAAACGAGAAGCATTCGGACCCAAGTAGATGGAAGGAATGAGGTATTTGCAGTCTACAATGACAGAGAAGAGACTGTGAAGTCTGGCTGTACTCAGCATTGAATCAAAACGCACTAAAGCTTTAGATCTTAATACGTTTGTGAGGCGTTTTGCTGAACAAGATGGTAATCGCCGCATTCAGCTGTTATAGGCATGCCAACTTGATGCTCTGCTCACGGATGACTCGATGAGCATAAACAACTGTTAAGATGATGACCGTACGTGGGTACAAAAAATGTTTTCTTTGTGGGGGTCTGCCCCCAAAAAACAGTTTTAAGTCCTGAGAAAGTCAAATAAGACGGTGTGTAAAACTACACTGCCCAGCCAAAAACCTTCCCACACTTTGAAAACCCCTGGCCTAGATGACACAGCATTATATTTTCCCAGTTTTAACACCACCCCAATTGCACTTTCTCCACTGGAAGGGAACCCGATAGGGAACTTATTCATGTTTTCTCCACTCAAAGGACACACAAGGATACGTTATTATGTTTCTGGAAGGGAACCACAATTTGACTTTATCATGTTTTCTCGACTGGAAGAGCATCCTTAAGGTCAATTTGAGTCGTTTTCTCCACCGTAAGTTCTTCCTAGATGTCTCTGCACCTCGTCAGTCAACACCTGTTGCACTCTGAGCCTGTAACATTTATTTTTCTCTCCTTCTCTCATTATGCGACATGGATAATAGCAATCAGACACAAAAACACATTTTACACTCAGCTGCAAGGCTTGTTCGAGTTTGCACTATCATGACCACAATATATTTTGTGATCAGACCTTGAGATAGTGTGGCAGAAAACTATTTGCAGGTGATGGAGGGGCTGCAATTCTGCTTTTCATTGTGTAACTCAGTATTATTGTTGCATATATTTGCTCAAAAGATACTTAAATTCGGGTCAAAAGTGCGTATTATAATTTTGCCGTTACACCATTCATCACCATTGTAATTGCATCACATAGATGTAAAGTGTTGGGTCTAAATGCAGATCAGTATCCATGTAATTATTTGGGGCTCATTTGTAATGCAAGGACAGAGGAAGCTGTTTTTCATAATTACATGACAGAAGCTATAATAATCGTGCACTTACCGAGCTCCAGATGAATGCTGGGAACAAAGGAGTTGAGGAAGAACATGAAGATCACCACCGTGAGGACGAACACACACTTCACCAGCAGAACCTTGTCTCTTATTCTGTGCTGTGGACCAGAACAAATACATATTCTGTCTGAACAGGGGAGAAGCTTTTCAAGTTTTTATCGCACAACTGATTGTTTTTGTGTCAAGAGAACAAGGCCAGCTTCATTATGGAGATAACATCGTCACAGAGTCTGAGGGGGAAGAATAAACGCTTACCTTCTTCTGCAATTCCTGAATATTCTGCTCCCAGTTCTTATCCTCTTGAGCAATTTCTCTGTCGGACACAGGAAACATGTTAAACTCATATGTTTAAAGCACACAAATACATTGAATTCTGGACTAATCACTGTCTTAAGGCTTTTGAAATCGTATTAAGATGTGAAACACTGTGCCTCTAGCAGCTGTTTATGAATACATAATGAATGGTGTGCTGTTTTAAGTTGTTTGTTGCCCATAATTCCCAGTGTTGTATATGGTATTTGTGCCATAATTGGATAACATGGATTACTCTTGGACTTCCTTTGCTTGTCCTCCCTCAGTTGTTTTTGACCAAACATTTAATTGCAAAATACAATGTTGGGTTTTTATAAATAAACCCAGCTAACTGTTCATTCTTAAGCATGCATTAGATGTAGCAAGGGTCACCAAAAATACTATTATAAATACTGAATTCTGGTGGGTTAATAGTGATGTCTTATCGAGACTATAGGCAACAAGCAGAGGTGGGAAGCAGTGGAGTACAAATACTTTGTTACTGTACTTAAGTACATTTTTCTGATATCAGTATTTTACTCCACTACTTATTTTTCTGACGACTTTATACTTTTACTTCTTATATGTTGAACACAAATACCTGTACTTTCTACTTCTTACATGTTGAACACAAATACCTGTACTTTCTACTTCTTACATGTTGAACACAAATACCTGTACTTTCTACTTCTTACATGTTTGAACTTCTTACATGTTGAACTCAAATACCTGTACTTTCTACTTCTTACATGTTGAACCCAAATACCTGTACTTTCTACTTCTTACATGTTGAACTCAAATACCTGTACTTTCTACTTCTTACATGTTGAACTCAAATACCTGTACTTTCTACTTCTTACATGTTGAACACAAATACCTGTACTTTCTACTTCTTACATGTTGAACTCAAATACCTGTACTTTCTACTTCTTACATTCTGAACACAAATACCTGTACTTTCTACTTCTTACATGTTGAACACAAATACCTGTACTTTCTACTTCTTACATGTTGAACTCAAATACCTGTACTTTCTACTTCTTACATGTTGAACCCAAATACCTGTACTTTCTACTTCTTACATGTTGAACTCAAATACCTGTACTTTCTACTTCTTACATGTTGAACTCAAATACCTGTACTTTCTACTCTTACATGTTGAACACAAATACCTGTACTTTCTACTTCTTACATGTTGCACTCAAATACCTGACTTTCTACTTCTTACATTCTGAACACAAATACCTGTACTTTCTACTTCTTACATTCTGAACACAAATACCTGAACTTTCTACTTCTTACATGTTGAACACAAATACCTGTACTTTCTACTTCTTACATGTTGAACTCAAATACCTGTACTTTCTACTTCTTACATGTTGAACTCAAATACCTGTACTTTCTACTTCTTACATGTTGAACACAAATACCTGTACTGTACTTTCTACTTCTTACATGTTGAACACAAATACCTGTACTTTCTACTTCTTACATGTTGAACTCAAATACCTGTACTTTCTACTTCTTACATGTTGAACACAAATACCTGTACTTTCTACTTCTTACATGTTGAACTCAAATACCTGTACTTTCTACTTCTTACATTCTGAACACAAATACCTGTACTTTCTACTTCTTACATTCTGAACACAAATACCTGAACTTTCTACTTCTTACATGTTGAACACAAATACCTGTACTTTCTACTTCTTACATGTTGAACTCAAATACCTGTACTTTCTACTTCTTACATGTTGAACTCAAATACCTGTACTTTCTACTTCTTACATGTTGAACACAAATACCTGTACTTTCTACTTCTTACATGTTGAACACAAATACCTGTACTTTCTACTTCTTACATGTTGAACTCAAATACCTGTACTTTCTACTTCTTACATGTTGAACACAAATACCTGAACTTTCTACTTCTCTCATTTTCCAAACAGCTGGTTCCTTTAGTCTGAATGTGTGTTTGGTGGCGTGATCATTATTCTTTAGAGTCATTGCGTGCCTATTGATTTGAACACGATCCGTGTATCCATCATTTCCTGGTCTTCTCTAAAGAAGAGGGACCAATGGAAACGTTGTCATGTTGCCGTTGTTCAGCATGGAAACATTCATTAGCTAACAATGACATTATTGTTCTATTAATATAAAGGGAGGTCAGGTACTCTTTAAAACAGCTGCTTGTTATGGGTACTTTTTACTTAGAAGCCCATACTTCTTTAGTATCTGTACTTCTACTTGAGTATCTGTACTTCTACTTGAGTAAAGGATGTGTGTACTTTTGCTATCTCTGGCAACAACAAGAACATTATATCATCGTTGAACATAAAAGAAAATAACGAAATGTGTTTCTGTGAGCGGTGATGCAAATATCCTGGAGAATGACAGATGTATGTTTTGAGTTTTCTTTTAACCTTTGGAAGGTGTGCATCATCTTGCGCAGCAGACTCTCCAGGTTGAGCACTTTTTGCATCAGGAGGCATTTCACCGCTGTCTCCTCGCGGCTCGCGGGGTTGATACGCTGCGCCGTCTGACGCCACACCAGGATCTCATGTTTCAACTCTGCAGGAACAAAACGAAAAGCCTCCTGTCAGTGGCGGAAAGTAACTTTACTCAAGTAGGTGGTTGCAGATGGGGTCCAAAACTAGCAAGCCACATGAATATCTGGGAGCAAATTAATTTGATATGCTACACAAATATGGCCAGGATCCGTTGAATTTTCGGAATATTGGGTTGGAGATTAGAATTGTCGAAAGGGGGGTTCGTTTAGCATGAAACACTTGAAATAACTGAAGGATAAGTTAAAAAAGAAAGTAGAAAGAAAGTGAGGTCAATGATTGAGAGTCAGACCTAAACATTTCAGATGTGTGTATCTCACACTGCACTGTAACTTTAATTCATGTACCTTTGTTATTCATGTTTTATCATCTTTGCTTTTAAATGAGTGTTTTTAAATGCCATTTAAAAATATGTTTCTTTATAGGCGCTTTCACACCAAGTACTTTTCCCAGGAATAGTCCCCGGAACTCTTTAATACCTGAACGATCTAGTAGATCGCGTTCACACCGGAATAAGTCCCTGAGGGAGGATTAGGCCAATGAAGCCGCTGACGTCACTTCTTCTTCTTCTGCTTTGGGTTTACTGGCAGGCCGCAAACAACTTCACGGCGTAAATCGCCACCCGAATTCCCAGGTAAATCGCCAGAACGCCGACACCTCCTCATCACTCTTATCAAGCTCCACATTTGTGGAATCAGCTTCCAGTTTGTGTTCGGGCGGCAGACACCCTATCCGTTTTTAAGAGTGCGCTTAAGACCTTCCTTTTTGATAAAGCTTATAGTTAGGGCTGATTAGATTCAGCCCCTAGTTTTGCTGTTATAGGCTTAGTTTGTCGGGGGACATCTTACTTCTTCCTTCTCTCTGTCTATACCTGTGTACTCTCATGTTCCGATTAACCCAGCTTCCCCAAATGTCTTTCTTTTTGGTGTCTATATACGCCGGGATCCGGAGACATGGATGATCCTGCGGTCCTGTGTCCTGGATCGCGAGCCCTGGATCTTGAGTCGTGGCTGTGGTCCTGGATCATAGGTCCTGGATGGATATCCTCGTGGATTCATCTTCCTATTATACACACATGCATTTCCAAACATTTGGACTACCTATGTTGCAAATGTATTATCTCTTCGATTTACACACGGCATCTATTGCACGTCTGTCCCGTCCTGGGAGAGGGATCCCTCCTCTGTGCTCTCCCTGAGGTTTCTTCTCCCATTTTTCCCTTTAAACTGTGGGTTTTCTCCGGAAGTTTTTCCTTGTACGATGTGAGGGTCTAAGGACAGAGGGTGTCGTATTGTCATACTGATATTCTGTACACACTGTGAAGACCACTGAGACAAATGTAACATTTGTGATATTGGGCTATATAAATAAACATTGATTGATTGACTCCACCGCTCCCACGTTTTATTTTGTGTTGCCATAAGTTACAGTAGTCTCTCTCCGTTGTTGCGCGGGGCTAATGCTAATAATGCTAATGCTAGCAAATAAAATGGCGGCTTCACAAAACTTTTCGAAGTTTTACGGGGCGTGGTTTGCAATTCGCCCAGCCAATCAGAAATTGGAACCTTTTTCTCCCGAGGAAAGTACCACCTCTCTAGCAGGGACGGAAATGGGGTGAAAAGGTTCCCGAGAACTAAGTTCTAGTTCTAGATCTTTTTGGTGTGAACGCAAAATCCCAGGAACTATCGGAACTATTCCTGGGAAAAGTACTCCTGTGTGAAAGCGCCTAATGCTCTTAACGTCTTACAGTTTTGTAAAGCACTTTGAATTGCTTTGTGTTGAAAGGTGCTCTATAAATAAACTTGCCTTGCCTTACTGTCCTTAAGTACAATTTTAAGTTACTTGTACTTTTGAGTACTTTCATTTTATGCTTATCTTTATACATGTTTTTCTACATTTTAAAAGCCAGTATTTTACCTTTTTATACTTAATTATTCGCCAGTTTCAGTTACTTGTTATATGTTCAAAGTCAAAGTCTACTTTATTGTCAATCAGACAGAAAGATCGAAATACAGTTTTCCACAATCCCGAATACAAAAATACAAATATATATAAAAATATGTATACAAATATCGATATCCTATATATACACAATCAACAGACACATGTATACATATGTTGTAGTACAATGTGCACATTTGTACCTTAACGTCTTGTGTTTATATACATTTATATATATTTTGTATTCTATTATATTGTTTCTTTAATTAGTTATTTTACTACAACTTCTTATGTTTGTATAGATTTATGAATTTAATTTTGTCTTTAATCGGACATTTCACTATATCTTTTTTTTTTTTATTAACCTGTGTTACAAAACTCAATTACCCCTGGGATAAAGAAAAGGCATCAAGTCAGATCGGATTATATTAGCTAATATAAAACATATATATTTACATTCTGTTTGACCTTTATCTGTTAGGCCAGGTTAGAGGGAGAGGAGGAACCTCCAGAGGGTTACATTGTACAGATTGGCAGGGACTTCCTTCAGTTTTCATGGAGCTCAGTGGGACACAAAGTTCCTCTCTCTCTTTTTAAATGTGAGCAGTGATTGGGGAGAGGGGGGGGGTCTCTGTTTAAATGATCCCCCGATGAGCGTCTCTCTGCACGAGTGTAGGTAAACACAGCTGAGAGGTGTTTGTATTTCTGGCTAATCAATTCTTACAGGAATATCCCTGTTTTACTGCTTTGCCCATTATCTAATTCCCCGGGGTGTTGTAGAAATAGCCGAGAACCGTTTGTTAAATAGAAGGTGGCATTAAATCTGACTGCATACTTGGTCTAGCTTTTTAAAGAGGCTCTATTCTGTTTATTTTCAGGTTCATATTATTAGTGGCTCTCCTGTGACATGTCTCCATGCTTTAATGTTCAAAAAGCTCTTTATTTGTCTCTTACTGCAGCAGCTCTTTTCACCCTCTGTCTGAAACCAGAGCCCAATCTGTTTTGATTGTTTAGCTGGCCGGCTCTGTTGAGATTGGTCAACCGCTTAGAGATGTCCCGCCCCTTAGCCTCACGTACAATGTGTTGGAGCGCCAGCCAATAGGAGTGCGAGTGTTAAATAGTGATGTCACTATGTTCCAAAAGTAAACAAAGGAGTCCAAAGCCTAGTGAGTGAACAGGTAAAGGAGTTTTTATGTACAAATGACATCCTGTCCAAACATCAGTCAGGCTTCAGAAAGCAACACAGCACCATCACTGCCACAATGAAAGTGGTGAATGATATTGCGAGTATTTTAGATAACAAACAGAGTTGTGCAGCTCTATTTGTTGACCTGTCCAAAGCGTTTGATACCGTCGATCATCGCATCTTGAAGCAGAGGCTACTCAGTATTGGCATATCCAGCCATGCAGTGGGGTGGTTTGTGAACTACCTCTCTGAAAGGTCCCAATGTGTTCATTTTGATGGGCTGTCTTCGGAGTGGTTAAACATTACTAATGGTGTACCACAAGGTTCTGTTTTAGGTCCGCTATTATTCTCCATCTACATCAATAGTTTAGGTGAAAATGTCGATGGAGCAACCTTACATTTTTATGCGGACGATACCGTGATGTACTGTGCAGGTCCCTCCATTCAGGAGGCTGGTGTTAAATTGCAAGCTGTTTTTAATATTATTCAGACGCAGCTCTCTGAATTAAAGCTTCTTTTAAATGTTGATAAAACCAAGGTAATGCTCTTTTCTAAAGCTAAAAAGACACCAGAGCCTGTTTTAGATATTGTACGCAAGGAATAAAACTTGAAGTGGTTACCTGTTATAAATACCTTGGTATCTGGCTTGATGATTATCTCACTTTTAAACTTCATGTCAATAACCTGCTTAAAAAACTGAGGGTTAGGCTAGGTTTCTTTTTCAGAAACAAATCCTGTTTCTCGCTTGAGGCCAGGAAAAGTCTCTGTGACCTTTTTACCTGCTGGACTATGGTGATCTGATTTATATGAATGCACCTGCCCATTACCTGGTCAAGTTAGATGCTGCGTATCACAGTGCACTGAGATTTGTGAAAAACAAAGTATTAAGCCATCACTGTACCCTGTATGCAAGGGCAGGTTTGCCTTCGCTAACTGTACAGAGGCTCAGTCACTGGTACATTTTTATATACAAAGCCATGTTAGGGAAACTTCCATCCTACATCTGCTCCCTGATCTCACGGCGAATTGTAAGTGGCTACTGCCTGAGATCGAATGCTGTGGTTTTATTAAATGTGCCAACAGCTAGGACCGTCTTAGGGAAGATAGCTTTTAGATGCGCAGCTCCTCTGTCATGGAATAGTCTGCAAATCAAATGGAAACTGAGCAATCTGGTGCCACTAAATGTTTTTAAAGCTCGGTTGGATGTTACTCAATCGGAAGCTGTTGGTACCTGTTCATGTGGATAGTTATGTAAATTGTAATCCCTGTAATGATGCTGTAAGATGTCCTTTTTGTTGTTCTGTTGTTTTATGTTTTTATGTTTCACGTGGAAACTACTTGAGCAGGTCTGCCTTGAAAAAGAGATCAATGATCTCAATGGGATTCACCTGGATAAATAAAGGTTTGAAATGAAATGGAAAAAATTGAGGCGTTTGGATGGAAGGACATTGGGGATTTTAGTCTTGCAGACCTATAAAAAAAACAACCTATATAACACACCACAGGAAAGCACAACAGGGCCTTTTTAATAAACCTTTAGGAGTGCAAGACAGCAGCTTCCTGCAGGCTCTTTCCAGTATAATGGCTCAATAGCTAATTTCCATCACAATGAGGACAATGTGAAGCAATACTACAATTACCTGTGACACACACAGGGGGGGGGAGCACTTTAATTCAGTGAGCAATATACATCAAGTGTTGGGGTTAGAGGGCGCAGGATATAATTATGTGTATAATGACGTTTCTATGAGGTCATTGCATCGCCTGAGGAGGTGAGTTTCTGCAGTGCGGGGGGTTAGACACCTCCATCTCATAATCAAAAGCAAATTGACTTTTAGCTTCTGCCACGTCCAGAGCACCTTAGTCTTCACATTTCAGCGCAGTGACAGCGTGAACTCACCCACTATCTCAATGGACTCTTTGTTGTAGAGCTTTTTGTTCGAGTAGAGCAGCCGCAGCATAGGAAATGAGGAGAAGAGGACGATGACTATTCCCAGGGACATGTAGCCTGTGAAGCTGGCAAAATCAATCCCCTGCAAGAGAGAAAAAGTGTGTCAGACATAAACAGCATCTGGAGATAAGGAGATTTCATTCAGATAGACGTTCGTGCAGAGCGTTCTGCTGAAGCTCGGACACAAAGATCAGAAATGCTTCTGCAGAAATATACATTTGGCGAGGAAGAAATACTCTGCAAGACCATGTCAAATTATAAAAATACATTTAGAATCGTACTTTAATAACAATACACAAGTGTTGGATTCAAATTCTCTTAAAGCACCAAAAGTACTCGTAATGTGTAATGGCCAATTTCATATCTTAAATGACTTCAAGTTTTGTAATAGCTAATAATCTGAACCTGAAGATGTTGTGATTGTTTCATAAAGTCTTTATTTATTTTACTTAACAGAATAAATACTTGAACTGCAGATATTCAGTCATATGAAAAGTGGTTAATAGTGACCTCTATAGGAGACATGAAGCGGGAGAAAGTGCACATTGTCACTTTGACTTCGTACTTTAAATATTATACTATTGTTCTATTTTTTATGTTTTCACTACACATTTCTATTTGATTTGATTTGAACCTTTTTATTGCACAATTTTGCGTTGACTTTTTATGTTTTATGTAATATTTTGTTTCCCATTTTGTTTAATTTCTATCTTTCTTTATCAAATGTTGTTTGTATTCAAAAAAGTATTCTATTTACTTGTTTATGTTTTCTTCTTTTTTGCAAATGACTACTTTTTCACGTTTGTATCAATATTTTGAATTCTATCTTATTTTTTAAACCTTTTTGTCGAACTTCTTGACTCCAATGTTTACATAAATATAAAAAAAACTCTAATACCAGAGTACACAGAGAGAGAGTTCAGAGAAAGAGACTGTATATGTGCACTCAATTTCAAAATCACCACCTTTTAGAATTATTGATTAACACCAAAGACAAAAAAAGTCCTAGAATAAAAATGACTTGAAAACATTTCTGATGACGTGTCAGAGCTAACGAGATGAAGGGAAAATCCCTTTTTGAGATGTACAGATGACGCCATCTGTACATCTCAAAATCTCGTTATCATTATTAATCCGTCACTCACAAGTCAGAGACAGTATTATGTTTCAGGTGTCAGATCACACCCTCTCCTCTCACAGTGTATTATCACAGGTTTTGACGGTGCATACCTCTCTCCGCAGCGCCTGATTGGACACGATGATGACGTTGGGCGGGTCTCCGACAGCTGTGGCGGCCCCCCCAATGTTGGTGAAGATTATTTCTGCAATCAGGACATGTCTGGGGTCCAGATTAAGCACCTCGCACAACCTGCACCATCAGATAGAGACACAAAAGCCCTTTAGACACGATTAGATTACAGCAAAAATAAATGTAAAAAAGGAAATTAGAATAATAAGTGCTGGTTCTTTAACATGCAGGATGTCAACCCTGAGAGACTGCATCTGTGTCGTTAGTATCGGGGGTCTAGTTTAACTTCAATATCGTCTATTTTTTGCAGGCAGCTAAAGCAATTTTGAGATTTTAATAAAGGTTCACTGTGGCTGACAATAGAGGCAGTGATAAAGAGGAGGTGGGACGCACAAACAGACCATTTGTACATACAGGAAATTATAGCCTCTGTTTTTGTGTGTTTTCCTGGGGCTTTAATGTATTCAGACTATTACTAAAATGAAAGCAGGGTTACTTTAGAAATGTAACCTAATCTGAGTATCACAATATAGAAGTAATATAACCTGTGTTTCTTTGGGATATCATCAATATGACATGCAATGCAAATAATTACAAGAGAAAATAAATATCAATGAGCAGTTTAAAAAAGCAGAAATAAAATCTGGGCTGACAGAAAATGATCGGTTTTAGTTTAATACACACAGTTAAGCTCACACACACTATTTTATGAACATATAGGTTCACCTGCTGAATTAAAAACAGTGAAGCAAAGAAAGTGAAACCATAAAGCAGATTCAGGCAGGAGGCGTATAGATTCACACTTAAAGTATTATCCTACAGAACAGAACAGCTCACAGAGAAGAGACAACATCTGATCCTTTACAACAAACACTATACGATCTTTAGAGGTTTTACTAACACTGTAATCCTGCTAGTTATCCACCAATTTTAGAAATGTAACTGTAATCTGAATTCATCTTTGTATCCTGATAATGTAATCTGAGGCAGTGTTTCTCAAATTTGTTCGTACCAAGGACCCCTTAACCAATAAAAAAACACTTGCGGACCACCAACTCCACAAATATCAAAAAACACATCGTTTGTCTAGAACAGATTACAAATCGCCTGAAAATGGTACAAACAGGTGGCAACATGTGTGACGAAGGTGTTGATCTGGGCTATATCATGCAATTAAAACTTAAGCTCGCTCCATTGCGGAGATAGTCCCACGAGAGTGCGGAAAACTTACATTTATTTATTTATTTAAAATGTGAAATGTTACCAATATACTCACGGACCACTAGGGGGCGCTCACGGACCACCAGTGGTCCGCGGACCACACTTTGAGAAGCACTGATCTAAGGTATGATGGAGATATAGAGGGATTCAAATGTAAAATGTCTTCACTGTACCTGATGGTGACCGGAGTGAAGAGCATCATGGTCGTCACGTTGTCCAGAAACGCAGAGAGGATGGCAGCGATGAGACAGAGGATGATGATCATCGGCCAAACTCGTCCTCTGGATAACTGGTACGCCTGCAGAGAGGGGGTTTAATAACCAGTCAATGTTAATATAAAATAAGCAAACACAATAAGCAGATGTGTTGATTCACTTCATTGAGTAAAAGTGAAGTGTCTACAGTGAGTGTTTATAAATAAGTGCCTGAATGCTAACACTTCTAACAATAGAGCTAAAAGAGGTACATTTCACAATTAGCCGTATAAAATGGATTTACACATAACTCCCCACTGGGCATGTTTCTTTGTTTGAAGTTACTGCTAACATTTCTTGTTGTGGAAAGTCATAAAAGACTCAATATGTCTACAAAGAGACACAAGTAACATCAGGAGACACAACACAACCACAAAGACACACAAGAAGTTCACAAAGATATTCAAAAGAAACCCAAATAGATAAAAGGCAAGCAAAAAGTGATTCAAAACGAACAAAATTAACAAAATGTAAGCATAAGCAGATACTTAAAAGACCCCCGCGCGACCACCTCTTCCAAAAGATCCTAATGACCCATAAGAGTCACCAAAAGACCACGAAGAGGTGCAAAGATTTGTAAAATTTTAAGAGACACAAAAATAACATCAGGAGACACGAGAGACACGGCAGGTTCACAAAGAGATTCAAAGGAAACGTGAAAAGTACAAATCCAACAAAAAGAGACACAAAAAGATCAGGAGGACCCAAAAGAGACAACAAATTGACATCAGGAGACACAACGAGAAAACAGACACAAAATGACCATAAAGAAATGCAAAAATAAACTAAAAGCCACTTCAAAAAGATCATTATGACCCGAAAGAGACACAAAATGAACACCAGAAGACACAACATGACCCGGAGAGACACAATAAATAAAGAAATAAATACATTAAAAAAGAAACAAAAATAAATTACAAACAGAAAGACCCTGAAGAGATGCAAAACCTCTACAAAAAGACCAAATAATTGTCTCTTTGGCTATTTTCATAATAAGGGTGGCGGGCCCTTACATAGCTGTGCCCAGGGGACCATTGTCTCATAGACTATCTGTAACCACTTCCATAATAAATGCATTTTCATAAAAATAAATTGGGCGAAGCCTGCGAGCTAGTTCAGGCAGTCAACTCGTTCAGGCAGTCAACTCGTTCAGGCAGTCAACTCGAGCACCAATGATACACAAACACATTCTCCTAAACATGCCACTCTATTTAAGCTACCAGGTCTTCCTGCCTCTGCCTCGCTATGCTGCTGCTGCTGTGTTCACTTGCTATTGCTACGTTCATGTTCCTGCTGCTGTGTTTCATGTTGCTGCTGCTCGCCTGCCCCCCCACCACCCCAGCTTCCACCCCAGCTTCCACCCCAGCTTCCACCCCAGCTTCACCCCAGCTTCCACCCCAGCTTCCACCCCAGCTTCCACCCCAGCTTCCACCCCAGCTTCCACCCCAGCTTCACCCCAGCTTCCACCCCAGCTTCCACCCCAGCTCCACCCCAGCTTCCACCCCAGCTTCCACCCCAGCTCCACCCCAGCTACACCCCAGCTTCCACCCCAGCTTCCACCCCAGCTCCACCCCCCCACCACCCCAGCTTCCACCCCAGCTCCACCCCAGCTCCACCCCAGCTTCCACCCCAGCTTCCACCCCAGCTTCCACCCCAGCTCCACCCCACCACCACCCCAGCTTCCACCCCAGCTTCCACCCCAGCTTCCACCCCACCACCACCCCAGCTTCTACCCCAGCTCCACCCCAGCTTCCACCCCAGCTTCTATCCCAGCTCCACCCCAGCTTCCACCCCAGCTTCCACCCCAGCTTCCACCCCAGCTTCCACCCCAGCTTCCACCCCAGCTTCTATCCCAGCTCCACCCCAGCTTCCACCCCAGCTTCCACCCCAGCTTCTATCCCAGCTCCACCCCAGCTTCCACCCCAGCTTCTATCCCAGCTCCACCCCAGCTTCCATCCCAGCTCCACCCAAGCTTCCACCCCAGCTCCACCCCAGCTTCCACCCCAGCTCCACCCCAGCTTCCACCCCAGCTTCTACCCCAGCTTCCACCTGTAGGCTCGGGGATAGTTATCTAATCATCACTCAATGTTCTTTGTAAATCTGTGGAGTGATGAGGCCCGAGCCTAGACGCCAAACTCAAACTATATGCTGTTTATAATAAACATATTAAGAAACACGTGAGTTGTCTGACTGAACTACTTGATAAAGCACTTCCTGATAAACAGCACTGACACGGACGAATAGCTCGCCTGCCTGTACAGTAAGTGTGAGACTGTCTTTTCTAGATGAGAAATACTAAAATGGCCCAGTTTTGTGATCTTTGCCTCTCAACAAAGCTAAGATCACTTCTCTCAGACTATTATAGTGCTGAGTTTTGATTCAGGATGTAAAGAAAAGCATCAAAGCTGGTTGGATATTATTATAAGGTCGTCCTAAATCCTGCTCATGTCAGATAAGTCAACATCAAATCTGCAGCCTTGTCATGTGTCAGAGCTGATTTCAGGAATAGCTCAAAGACAGGGGGCAGCTGCTTCCATAGACCTGTCACTCAGGATGCCACATGCAGATAATATATATATAACTGATATAAATATAATACCTGACCTTTATGTTCAAAACGTCACAACTTTATTTCCTGAAAGAAAACTCACCTTCACAGCGCAGTAATCAAAGAAGCCCGTATCGGAGAAAATGGCCACCAGCACCATCTGGAAGACACATTTTTTTTAATAAATACATTAATTAAGTAAAACACCTATCATTATGCAATAAGATTATACAGTAGGCCACCCTAATATATGGTTTAAATTGTCCTCACAAAAAACAAGATGGTGCTCACATTCAGTCAGAAAGATGACCCCAATTTTAAGGAATTTAAAGGTCCCCTATTATACTGTTTTTCGTCAATATATTATAGGTTTCAGATATATAAAAAACATGTCTCTGGAGTGTTTGGCTCGAAATCTAGGAGGAGAGTCAGGTTGGTGATTGGCTAATGGTTACACTAGCCAAAACATTGTTATGACATCATAAGGTGGCCAAAATCTGATCAGCTCATTTTCAGACATGTTTTTATATAAATGGATCAGGACAAGAAGAGAGAGAATCTTTTCCCCTGAAACTTTCAGAATCTCTATACACAGAGGGGACACATGTTGATGTAGAAAAGACATGAAGAAGTGGATTTTACATAATAGGTGACCTTTAAGATATTGTTTTCAATGGGGTTTTTCTAGAAAGATATAGTATGAGGGCAATACTGTGGCGCTGATCTTGTATTTATAGATTATCTCGAGAACATGACGCCCTTAATACAAGATGGCGCCGCGGACGTGAACATCAACGCGATGTCGGAGCTCCGCAAAAACAAAGCTGTCTCTGTCGTCTGAAGGTCTGTTTGACACGATTCTCATATTTTTTTTGTTATTATACAGTTTTTGATGAACAGAAATATTGTATTCTGGCATCACTTTAAAATGTTACGGGGAAAATCTGCATTTTGGTATGAGGGTGCACGCCGAAAGTAAGAGGGTGCAAAGCCCTTGTTACCCGGTTTAGACAAAACCCTGATACTTGCACTATCATTTTATCAAGAGAAGCATTGAAATCTAATGGCCATTACTGTAGGAGAAAAGCTTTTTTATTTTCAAATTGCAATCAAAAGTGGTATTTAAAACGGCTTTAGAAAAAGGACTTTCGATGAGTAAATTAGTGATGTTACGTTCGCGAACGATCCAATTATTTTGAACGGCTCTTTGGTACGAACGAAGGGAGCCGAGTCCTACTTGGCTAGAGCCGTTTTATCGTTGGTTCCCTGCCTGCCAGAAATCCACTCGCCTTTAAAGGAACTTACTTTCCTGAATGCAAATTTGCCGTATAGACGATGGCATAACGCATGCCGCTTGAGTAGTAGTTTGGCTGGCTGAGAGATGTAGCAAGTTATACATTTTTCTGTGAGTAAAAGTAGATTTCTGGCAAAAACAGTCAATCATTATCCTGGTGATTATGTCACAAAAAACTGCTCTTTTGAACGGCTTTCGGAAAGGAAGGGAGCCATAAGATCCGGCTCCCTTCAAAGAGCCGTAATTCCCATCACTAGAGTAAATAAATGAAATACATAATTGAACTTTAAAGGCTAACCATGCCGAATAGAAGAGCCAGCGTCTCGTAGTCGATCCACTCCATCACCGTCACCAGACTGGGCCGCTGTTTGATAAATAAACAAATCATTCTATTCATTTACAATAACCAATAACTTTCTTTACAGTACTAAACTTCCCTAAATACTTTGGTAAACGTATCTGAAGCTGACATTTGACCTGCAGGAAAAGCACAGGTGGAAATTATGAAGATGGCCTTGCTCACACACAGTAAACGTAGCTAACTAACTTACTACTAAATAACTTTCTGGCTAATTTCAAGACGTTGTTATGATTTTTTTTCTAAAAATGAAGGCAGATTGACCACTCACATTTCAACACATTGTACTTATTGTTAATTGTAATTGTAAATGTAAGAGTCTCCATTAGAAACAAAGCTAACAACAAGCTAACAGATGAGAGTTAGCAGACTTAGCATTACGATTAAACACGTGGAGAAATACAAAATGATCCAAATTGTGCAGAATATACAGAAACAAAGATACATTAGAAGAATAAACTCTTTGTATTTAAGTTTAACACTTATTTGTATAGCTTAAAGATCAAAAAGAGACTTACATCCCCGATGACTGCTAGAGCGGCTAATGCTGCTAAAGATCCCAACATGGCCGCCAGAGTACGATGAACGACCTGAAACATAAACAAATATTCACCATTAACACTTTATTTAAGGCCTCTGAATCAAACAAGGCGACAATGGATAAAAGTTAACAAGCTACAACCACTATCTCTTGATATCATTCGCATACAGTCCAAATACATGCGCTAACCAAAGGCAAATATAACACGTTAAAAGGTATATTATCTACATCTTGGAACTACAAGTTGTGTCAAATGCATTTATTACCTTTAATTCATTGAAATAATGGATATTATTTAATAGGAATTGATGCAAAGCTTCAGCTTGTTTTATTTATATATTTTTTTATTTTACATTTTGTTTTTGTGGTATTTTATTTTATGTGGCCTTGTTACCCTGTAGCAGAAACAGGAAAGGTGAGTGTGTCCTTTTTAGTTTTGTCCCCTCTTTTCTCGGCAAAATATCGTTAAATTCAGAATTTCAGGAGGATATTGCTTTATAAACGGTCTGGGGATATTACAGAGGACTCCATTCTTTCACACACAGTGACGTCACGAGCTACCCACAATGCAACACGCGTCATATATATATAAATACGTCATTTTCCTGGAGGTGCTAATATCCTGGAAGTGCAAATATAAACAGCTAGCTAACGTAGCCAGGCAGAGCGCACTAGGTTTTTTTTCTGAATTAACGACCGAAGAAATCGCCGCATGTCTTCGGATTACATCTCTGGACTTGAGGGGTGTGCTCTAGGTCGGTACCAGCGTAAACTAGAGCTGTGTGGGTTGTCGGATTGCCTTTACAGACTGCCTGCAGATGTATGGAAAAACTACAGTGGCCTTCGTCGATTTTGGCAGCATCTACGTCTAATTTCTGGAAACACCAGGTGAATACCCCACTTGTCACAATAATATTATCATGCCAATGCATATATGTGGTATTTTAGAGTTGACTAGATATTGATTAAGGCAATAGACTATGATATTCAGTACAGGAAGCTTAGCAACACCTAGACGGTGTACGGCTGCCTGCTTGCACCTCGCGTAAAACGGCGGATACCGGAAGTACGGTGTCGCGCTCGGCCCAATACCCGTATGTGTGTGTGAAAGAATGATGCTCCTTCATCACTCCTCTCAAGCATGATGCTTCCCATTATTAAAAAGCTCAGATCTGTGATAAGCGATAGTTATAAGAGCTGATCCTCGTGCCACTGCAATAAACTGCAGTTTACTCTGTATACTGAATACAATACTGAATACAATAAGTATTGTATCTCATTCATCATCCTTAGAGGAGTGTAGCATCACACTTACCTCGAAGATGATGAGGACGTAGACCCCGGTGAGGATGATGGCGGCGATGGCCACCTGCGTCTCCACGTTGACGTAGAGCGCCTGGTGGGTCATGGAGAGCGGCACCACCTCCTCCTCCTGCAGGAAGGCCTGCACCGAGACCACGATGGGGTCGCTGTGCAGGACACATGTTTTCATTTTAGGCAGATGCTATTTCATTTCATTTTTATTTGTTCCGTTCATGGTATGCACAACTTAACGTTTAACAATTATTTACCACACATGTCTCTATCAACACACCTTTTACCGAAAAGAAGCAGGGAGAGGAAAATAATCTTATATGACCTGCCCCTTTCGAGAAAAAAAAAATAGAAATAGATGGTCTGTCCTTTTATTTTCTTATTCACAGCCAAAAATAACAGTATCGTAGGAAAATAAGAGAAACACAAAAACTTACTACAAAAAATACTTAGTTCCCACTTGACAGTTAACGGAAAGAAACAAAACAACAACACCGAAAAGGAAAAGTGCAACACCCTCATCTGAGTCCTACTGGACCACATTAGATTCTGTTTTGAATGTAGGAATATTTATCAAAAGTCCCTTGTGGAGCTGTGTCAAGGGAGCATGTTGACATACTGATGTGTTGAAGCTCTATTCTAACGTGTCAAAGTCTTTATAAGTACCTGCTGATAATCTCAAAGGTTTTGGTGAGCAGTATCTGGTCGCTGCGATCACTGTGCAGAGGAATGGTCCAGTTGTGAATCACCTGTTCACAAACAGCAGATTAATAACTCACAGGTGAACACTTCGCCGACAATGATGTTTCTCACTGACAGAAATTCACCTGCTGCGCCCTCCTCCTGCGTCCCCCCTCCGTCTGCTCCACCTGGATCAGGATGTAGTCCTGGGTGTTGATGTCCACCTTCCCAACTGAAAACGCCCCCCCGACCTGCAGCTTCAGCAGGGCGTTATCCCGGAAATCTGTCAGGTTCATGGCTGCAGGACACGGACGTTAAGGGAATCATCTGTAGGTTCTGATGTGTGTTTGCGTAGAGGTGGGCCTACAAAATGACACTCTAATGGCGCATTTCCACTGCAGCGGGTAGCCCCGTTTAAGCGTCCTTAACCGTCCTCAAGCGGCCAGGCCAGTTTTTGGTGGCCTTTCCATATAGCGTAGCACCGGCTAGCGGGTACTTTTTCCCTCTTTTTCCGGCCCCATAAAATCGTGGTTCTATCAGACCAGGGCCAGGGCTGAACTAGTGACGTCAACACTCTCGACTGCTGATTGGTCAGAGAGAATCGTCACAAGATCGCGCGCGAGTTCATCCCTAGCGTCGCATATATATTTAGAAGCAAGCTTGCAGCATTTTTATAAACAGCATTTTGTAAACGGAGGAGCTACAAAATGGCTACGTCTAATAAGAAAAGCACACCGTGGTCGACCGAGGAGGTGACGACGTTCCTACATCTCATTGGAGATGATCAAATCCAGCGGGAGCTCGACGGAACAACTCGAAATGTGAACAAAAACAAAGCCGATCGCCCCGCCTACACTGCGTTGCTAGCACAGGTCCTAAACTGTAATGGAAATGCGCCACGGCCTGGGCCGGCCAGCGAGGCAGCCCGAGGCCTGAGCGAGGACGCTTAGGGACGCTTAAACGGGGCTACCCCGCTGCAGTGGAAACGCGCCATTAGGGACGCTTAAACGGGGCTACCCCGTTGCAGTGGAAATGCGCCAAAAGAGGCATAAAACGACTATATAAAAAGACACAAATACAGATAAACAAAGCGAGTATAAATCACTATACAGATACGCAAAATCTCACAGCAATGGGCAAAAACTGACCATAATAATAAAACCAAAACAACCAAAAAAAGACATCAACAGCTCTAATTCCTTTTGAAATCATTCCTGAAAATCGATAAAACTTTACAGGTTTCTTCTTTCAAAATACAATGAAGACATAAATTGAAGTAAATATTAAAACAGTGGGAGAACTTTCCCACCTGTTCTCCTCCTGCATATTTCATACTGATTACATCTGAGTGAAGAACACTTGTAAATTAAACACTTTTTTTTTTTAATCTGTCAAAGTATTTTCACTTGTGTCCCTCAAAGTAAAACGCAGCTGCATCACGTCCCACCTCTCAGTGTGGATTTAAGACCTGCATCTTGTATTTACATTATTTAAAACAACATTTCAGTATGAAAGGATACAGAAGCTTTCTGAGGGGGAGACGGCCAACATCCTCACGGGGTTATCTCTGTCCGGATACATGCTGAAGAACAGCTGGGGAAATCAGCAGGATGTTGTTGTTATTATCTACTCCTATACGCTCTGAACATAAAGCAAGGCATACTTCCAAAAATGCTGTAGTAAGTCAAATAGGTGGGTCAAAGTTGTAGATTTCTTATTATCACAACCTTTTTACTAAATGATGCTTTTGTTTTTATTTTTAGAATCAACATTTAAATATATTTTTTCAAATAATTAAAATAATAATAGATAAAAGAAACAATAAGGCTAAAAAAATACTTAATTATAACAAATACTACAACTACTACTACTAATACGAATACTACTACTACTACTACTACTACTACTCATATAACTTCTACTACTAATACAACTACTTCTACTACTACAACTCTTACTAATACAACTACTAATACAAATACTACTACTACTACTACTGCAACAACTATACTACTACTACTACTACTACTACTACTACTACTATACTACTAATATAACTTCTACTACTAATACAACTACTTCTACTACTAAAACTCTTACTAATTCAACTACTAATACAAATACTACTACTACTGCAACAACTATACTACTAATATAACTTCTACTACTACAACTCTTACTAATACAACTACTACTACTAATAATTACTACTAATATTTATTAAAGTCAAAGTAAAAATGTGCCATTAGAGGATAAAATACATTTTCAAAAAGAATATGTGTATCATCATAAGAAGATGTGTACATTGTTCAATTTATGACAACTTCAATTTGTAGAAATGTGTATATATTACAATCTACAGTTTTTCACTTACACTGCAGAGGACGACTATAGTAAACATGGTGGCAATTTTGGAGATTTTGAAGCAGCATCTGGAAAACAAAATAAGGAGAAAGTCAATAGAATGAAAGAGAACAATGGTGGCTCAAAATGGTGACGAAAACAATATTTTTTTAAAGTTATTATTTCCCACACATTTGAATTTAATTTTGCAATTTGATGACATATAGTATGTAAAGTGCTTTGAGGGGTCATACCTGATAAAGCACTATAAAAGTACAGTTCTTTTTACCATTTTACTATCTAAACGATATTCAAATAATACACAGGAAAAATAATCCCAACTGTAAATGTTATAATTTTTGTTTTCTATTTTTATTTCATTTTAAATACTATGTGCATGCCTTTTTATCTAATAGTCATCTCCATATATACTGTGCTGTAACAATATCCCTCTGTGGGACATAAAGGAATTGAGATTCTGATTCAAAAGAAGACTCATCACAAGTTAAATTCACACTAAAGGGTTGAAAAAGAGTGAAAAGTCATGTTTTCCTGCGTCCTCACTTCACGTTGCTGGTGAGTTTGAAGTTGAGGTTGAGGTTCTCCAGCGGGACGCTCTTCTCCGAGGAGCTGGAGCGGGATAAGGAGAGGTTGGTGACCTCGCTGCCCAGCCGGTACCTCCTCTCCAGGTCCGGAGAGCCCCCGTCCCACGGCGCCTCCTCCCCCACGAAGCCCGGGTCGTGCAGGGTCATGTAGGTCATGCTGGAAAACAATAACAACCGCGTCAGGCCTGTGGGCATGCAGCTCTGCAGCTTCACAGAGGGATAACTTCAATATTAAAGGCACCAGCTGTGGATGTGAGGGACTGCATTGAAAAAAAATTCTGAGCAGCAACGAGCATCCTGTAATCAGCTTTTCATTACATGAGTTGTAACCTGCTAACTGAATCAATGTTAGAAGGCTTGTACAATGATGTGACATTTCTACCTAACATGGAGTATTAAAAAAACCCAAAAAAGGGCTTTTGTTCCCATAAATCTGCTTCAGTAATTCAGCAATTTGGGCATAAAGTATGTAATTAGATAATAAAATCTACGATAATAACGATAATACCAATTTTATTTTACGTATTGTAGTTGTTTCATCATCATTATTATTAAAGGTGGGGTAGGTAATTTTGGAGAAACTAGCTCAAGAAAATACACAACCGGAAGAAATCTGCCACTTCCTTACAGAGCCCCTCCTCCAACACACACAAACGCGCACATGACCAATGAGGGCATGAGATAAGTTTGTGCACAGATGGAAGGCTGACAGGCAGGTAGGCCATCCAGTTATTTTAGCCGGGCCGGCTCAGATGATTGGTCGTGCTTTTTACAGCGCCACGGCTTCCACTGATGACATTTTTTTATGGATTCTGTGTCTAAGCACTTAATGTATTCATTGCTATCGGGATGTTTAGAGCATTCCATGGAATATAACAAAAAGTGTATCTCGAGCCGGTTTCTCAAACTTACCTACCCCACCTTTAAGTTACAAAATAACTAATAAAAACGTTAGATAAAATAAGAGTCATATTGAAACAGCAGGCCTATAAAAGAAGGCATAATAATATTCATGTTATATTTAAACTAAAACGAGAGGAAAATAATACAAAAAAATAAAGGAAGAGTTATATACTGTATTTATTATTATTTATTGCGCAATGTCTCATTTCTTTTTATTTTAAAGCATCTTTGAGTATTTATTAATTAAATGATTTGATTTATTTGTTAATATTGGCACCTTTAGGCCTCCGTAGCACTATAATGTAAAACGTGAATAAAGACTCACCTTTCGTCTTGGGAGAATCTCAGCAGCGGAGACTTCTCTGAGAGGTTTGCAGAATTCGTTTTTCCTCTCAGGATATTTAATACGCTGAAGCCGTGCCTGAGAAAACAACATGAAATGGACAAGAAATTGTTAAATAAAATAAAAGAAGACTCATCTATAGACCCTATAGAGAAGCCCTCAGCTGTCCTCACACAGCTGTCAGTCACTCGGGCACAGCTGGAGACACCTGAGGAGATCATATTAATACACACACACAGACACACACACAAACACACACCACACACACACACCACACACACACGAACACACACACCACAGACACATGAGCACACTTTCAATTAAAAGTACAATACATCATATTTCCGCAATAAATCCAGTGAAAAGTAACAGACCTATCTTTTATAATTATTTGATTTGTGTAAACTTCTCCCACAATGTTCAAACCCAAAACATTTATAGTTTGAATCAAAGCAATGCAAAGTAGGGCAACTAAAAGTAAATACTTAATATTTAAATACACAATCTACAAAAAATTATTCAAGACATTATATATATATATGAAAAAAAAATCATAACATAATTTAGGAGTGAAGTCATGGATTTCACCCATGTGCTTCATACACTATCCGTATAGAGAGGCGAAGTCCTGCCCATCTACTTCCGACCCATGGGACCTTATTTCGGAAAAATTATGTATTGAAGTCAATGGGAGAGAAAGATTATCTTTCGATCCCGTTTGAATTGTGCCACGAATTACACATAGATGTTTGTCAATCTTAAAAAATCATTTCCATGTCAAAAAAGTCAGTTTGTCGTAAAACTGTTGAAATATAAGACTATGAAAAATACGCAACTAGAAAGACTACAAATCCCAGAATCCCGGTCCCGCATGCTGGCTCTCACGGAACCGACTAACTCCCCTTGTGTGTATGTACAGCTCTCAACATGCCCAGACGAGTGATTTTCACCTCTTTTAATACTTTTCGCCTCATTCTGAAAGAAAGAGGTGAAATGTTTCAACGTGACGGCCGTCTTGGTGTGGTGCGAGATGGGAGATGTAGTTCATTGAGCGGTTTCACACCAAAAAAAGTGTTACTTCACAGTTTTACGACACATTTTAATTTTTTTGACTTGCAAAATTATCTTTTAAATTGACAAACATCATATGTGTAATTCGTGGCACAACTCCCCATTGACTTCAATACATACTTTTTCCGAAATAAGGTCCCATGGAGCTCCCCCGGAAAGGGAGGGACTTCTGCTTTCTATGGTTTGACACAAACCTCAATTTCAAAAAACATATCAAAAAGGTCTGCAATAAAGTAAAGTTCAATCTGTCAAATTACAGATACATTAGAAACTTCCAATCAACTGCAGCAGCTAAGCTATACCTTCACTCAATGGTCCTCTCCCACATCAACTACTGTCTGATAAGCTGGTCTAGTGCACACTCTACAGCTCTAAAACCACTGGAATCACTGTATAAACAAGTACTCAAAACACTAGACAAAAAGCCATTCCGGTATCATCATTGTAACATTGTTAAAAAGTATAATCTGTTCAGCTGGGAAAATCTCATAGTTTACAAAAACATCTGCTTAGTTTATAAAATCACTCGCTCCTCCCCCTCTGGCTGGCTTCATCAGCCTAAAATCCACCTCAACCAGGGTTACTAGAGGTGCGTGCGGCTCGGGGAGACGGCACCATCCCATTTAGGAAAAGCGCATTCAGCCAGGCTGTCTTTTCATTCCACGCATCCCATCAATGGAATTCAATACCACAACCAATAAGAGAATCCTCATCCTACTACACATTCAAGCACAGTATTAAAAAGTGGCTCATTGAAAACCAACAGTGTCAGCACTGATGTGTGGGTGTAGGTGTGTGTATGAGTGTGTATTGTAAATGTTTTATTTATTTATTATCATGACTTGCTCTTATCTGTATTCAGTGATGTCATCTATTGTAAATATGTACAATGGTATAACAATGTTGTGGTATTTGTATTATTGCTTTTAGGATGTCTATCACCATCTGGCAAAGGGACTATCAGTAAAAACTAGCCTTTTGGCTAATTCGAGCTCTTTTACATGTTTTTAATATGTTGATTAATGTACACTGTCCCTTGTTTTAAATAAATCAATTCAATTCAATATCAGAGGAAACGCTTTAAACCTCCTGAATCATGAACACTGAAGGAATCCTAACCAGGAGAAGCTGAAAACTACAACTCCCAAGATCCCACACTGCTCCACCACCACACCACACAACAGCGTGTTTTAATCAAACTGAGATTTGTATCTTCATGCACGTTATTAAAAAAAAACTCTACTCCATTCAGCCCACTGTCATCTAGGCAATTACTTAAAGTTTAAGACGTCATGGGAGTCGTTATGAAACACCAAAGGGTACTATGACTATTCTTGCACGTCATGGTACCACAGCACCTCCAAGGCGCTAAAAATAAAACTTCAAACATCGCAAAATAAACTGGTCAGACTACTGCTTGACCTTTCATCTAGAACCCACCTCACCTCTGCCCACTTTGACAACCTAGGATGGCTTAGAGTAGACGACAGAGTACAGCTACTTGCAATGGGCCTGGTCTACAAGATCCACTACACCTCTATGGTATCCATGTACATGTCAAAATTCTTCCCAAAGGTCAAGGAATACCATGATCATAACACCAGAGGGAGCTCCACAAATCATGTGAAACCCAGATTTGGCACAAAAAAGGGGGAATACACGTTTCGCAATTATGCCACATCAAGGTGGAACGCTCTTCCCACAACTGTAAAGGAAAGTAAAACTATACTTACCTTCAAAACCTCTCTTAAAGAGCACCTTCGGGGGAGAGCATTGCAAAACTGGCCCCGGTAATGGTACAAATCTCAACCTGTCGTTCAATGGACAGCTTCCCCCCCCCCCCCCCATCTATGTATATACTCGCATTTTAGACTCTGTTACTAACTGTATATCTGTAGACTTGGTATGTCTTAAATGTCCGGTTAGGATGTATTAGAACGAAATCTAAAATGTAAATTGTAAATAAGCCATCTGTATGTCAAATATGTCTTAAATGACATGATGAATTGGAAATGGGGGACCCTGATGTAAACAAGACGAAAGTCTTTCTCTGGTCTGCATCCCCTTAACAATTGTATGTTTTGAGCTGTACTGTACTGTACCCAATATACAAGCTGTTAATAAACTATTCAATCAATTCAATCAAAACCCACGCACTGAGCCAAAACTGTTCGATGGAAATGCGAAATTTAAAAAGTTCCCCCTCGGCTAATCTTATAATCTTTAAGGGATTTTACCCTCTGCATGTCACGCCTAGACACAGTCTGTGCACTTCACACATTTATATGCATTGTTGGTAAGTGTATTTTAATAAGGAAATCCTAGTTTTGTGATGGTTTGATTTGACTTTCTGTTATATAAAGAGGTTATTCAGTCATTCCTTATGCTGTTGAAAAGGTGTTTCGGCGCTTTGAATCAATACATGTTGGTGATAAAGGACTCATTAATCCTCTTCCATACTCTTTGACAACTATAAGCAGATTTACAATGTGTCTACAAATGTTTTCTCCGCTCTTCTTCCTCTGATCCTGTCCTCGAGATGTGACTTTGAATGCAGATTTGCACGGTCACAGTCTACAGAGGGGCCTTTAAAGAATACTCAGCCCCGACAGAGAGCAAATTAAAACTGGGATTAGAGATGGATCATACAGCAGCGTTTTTAGGGCACCAGCAAGGAACAGTCAGTGTGAATAATTATGTCTCACAATGGAAAATAGGTCGTATTTTACAGGAGATATTTTTAATTTGAATGGCCTGTTCACCTAATGAGGTGGTTTCTTTATACACAATGCATAAATCAGCCATGTGTCTAAACATTTCTGGCCACTTGGGGGCGCCAGAAACAAGGCATTAACATATTATCCGTTTTTTAGTTGATTAGCACCCAGCAGAACAACATGAAACAGGCCCTATTCTGCTTTTTGGGGTATTCCTTTTCCTCTAGTGTGTTGTATAGGTTTGTATGCATATAAATGGTCTGCTAAGTCTAAAATCCCTGTGTTCCCTCCAGAGGAAGTTTCTCTCCGCTGCCTGAATTGCCTCCATTGCACTCCTTTTTTTACTTCTTGAACATATTGACATCACTACGGAACACTCACGCTCCTATTGGCTAGTGCTCCGACACATTGTACGCATGGCCGTACCCACCATTGATGTCACCGACGTCCGGAACTCGGTAATTTTTTCGAGGTGTATATAATAAAACGTATTAAATAACTGCGCATAATTATCAGGGTTCTTTGTAGTACTTCCATTTACTGGCGGCAATGCACAACTAAGCAGCCTACATTAAAGCAAACAGAAGAAGACAACATCCATTTATCAACTAACAGCCGCAGTCCGGACTTGTACCCATGGATGTATAATAAGGGAAGTTGAAATAAATACTTTATTTTCGTGTTGTGTACATAAGGATGTAATGCTTTTGAAAGGCAAAGAATAATTAAAAAAAGATATATATGTATATATGCTGAGCCCAGAGTGAAATGCTTTTGTGTGCACAAACTACAGGTGAACAGCAAACACCAGTGTGATTTTGGTGGGAGTACGACCACCCTGGACAAAGTTATAGTGGGGGTGCCAAATCCGGCAGCACCAACACCTGGTCTGCCACATGTGGAAGCCCCTTTTTAGTTTCTCACCTGCTGAGCCCAGCGTAAAATGCTTTTGTGTGCACAAAAAAAATTGGGGGGCTGTTGTTTTGGACCTCGGTATTTACGAAATCCTGGGTACGGGCCTGATTGTACGTGATAAGGGGCGGGACATCTCTAAGCAGTTGACCAATCACAACAGAGCCGGCCACCTAACCAATCAGAGCAGACTGGGCTCTGGTTTCAGACAGAGGGTGAAAAGAGGTGCTGCAGCACAGACAGTATGAGAACAATAAAGGGCTTTCTGAACATTAAAGCATGGAAACATGTCACAATAGAGACACTAACTGTGCCCTGCAACATCATATATCCTTGAATCATGTTTTTTTATCTGCACAAACTAAACTTAGTCCAGGTATAAAACTAGTTCTCACTAGGGCTGAACGATTAATCAATTTTAAATCGAAATCGCGATTTGAAATGATGCGATTATGAAATTGCAAAGCCTGCGATTTAAAAAAAAAAAAAAAGATTTCATTTACAATTTTTTTTTCTTTTTCTTGTGTGTCAGTCATCCACACCAATCAGAAGTGCTGTGCTCCACATGTACCAGCCATTGTTAATCAATCAGAAGTAGCCCATGATAGAAGGTGATAGACAGATTGATCCAATCACCTGCCAAGTGCTTCTGAAAGTGCCTGCCCTTTCCAAATGGCTTCCAATGGAGCTTTAGATGGTTTGGTGAAACAAACCATCTGAGTCAGGTTAGCAATGCTCCATCACATGTTTTACATCTATTACAGGGTGACTCTTAAACTGAAGCTTGACTTTAAAGCAACCCAACGGAAGTTTCATGTAAGTTTAGTTCTTTCACTCGTAGCTCGGGCTGCGGGGGTGCTAGAGACGGGAGCACGTTGATACGACCTTCCTAGCCGGAGATATGGCCGCATTTTACAATAAACTTCCGTTGGGTCGCTTAACAACAAATATCGCAAATCGCAATATTTGTCAGAAAAATCGCAATTAGATTTTTTTCCAAAATCGTGCAGCCCTAGTTCTCACTGCAAAAAGGTTATCACACTGTTAATCCGTCCCACCACAGGGCAATCCATGTATCAGCTGTAGTACACTCTCCATCACATGCAACTTTGACTTAGTTCAAGCTAAAAAATTCCTCAGTTTAATCCCAATAAAGTCACAGCCACGGGCTTCAGATTAGCACCCCCCTGAGTGACTGAGATACACACCCACAGACTCACAGACTCACAGACTCTCTCACACACACACACACACACACACACAGACTCACACACACACACACACACACACACACACACTTTAGTCTGAGTGTGTGTGAATGATCACTTTACGAGAAAAGGCCAACTTTTTGCACGTGTACATCCCATGGAAACAACAAGTCCTCCAACTCATATGACCAAATAGGTCGATTGTTCAAACGCTTAGTATTATTCACACCATAATGGTGCACAGTTTATAGAAAAGGACTTGTAGTTTTTAAAGATATTACTGATTTTCTTTGAATCAAAGAATGTAAGTACTGAGTTGAGAGAATAGTCAGGGGTTTTGGGTGATGGGAGACACATCTATGGAATCAGAATTTCAATAGCTTACCATTAAATTACGGATATACCTGTCTGTCTATGATATTTTACAAATCAGATATTAATGTGTAGAACTACAATATGTGAAATAATATAGCAATATCCTGTAAAATTATGTGAAAACATGAATAAAACTACACATATTCAGATGTTATACATACATAAGTGTCCTACACTAATAATACAAAGTTATTATGGCATTGTATGCTGTGTGTTCTTTGTAACATCTTCAGAAACTACCTTTCCAACTCCTCATGCAGTTGACTGTTAAGGCCCTGACACACAAAGCAGTCACCAGAGAACTCGCTGACGCCGACTGTTGCGTCGGCGTGTTCTCCTTGGCCATGTGTCGCACTGGAACATACCGCAAAGACTTCAGCCGAGCACGTACGAACTGCGCATGCGTGAGTGGCAATAACACTTCTTAACAGCAGGCGGCGGTAGTGTGTATTCGTCATTCAAAAGAGGCAACAACCGGAAGACAGAGAAGAAGAACAGACTGCGTGATCTAAACAAACAACAAATAGCGTGTGCGTTCCATTTTCACTCTCGTCTATCGAAAACATGTTTCGTGCGGTACTGGAGCTATCAGCCATTGGAGTGTTGCTTGTGGAAGACATTCTCAAGCAACCGTTTCGCTTCTAATGCACTGATTCGCTAGCTGAACAGCCAATCAGAGTGATTTCTTTGTCCGACTGCCTGTGGCCGACACACGGCCGATTCAACATGTTGAATCGGCCTTGCGTCGGCCATGAAAGGCCAAATAAGGCGTGTTACGGCCGACGGTGCGGGACACACCAAATTCAGTTTGGGCGACAGGGCACGCTTCGTCGTCCGACTAACGAAAACGGCCGATTTCGGCCTGTTGTGTCAGGGCCTTTAGCTTCAAATCGAGAGACTGAACGGGATTTTTCTTTACCGTTCTGTTTTAATTTCACAATAAAGTTAATAGTAATATTATGTTTGATATCATTATGTTTTATTAACTAGACCACTGGGTCATGTTGTTAAGACCATATTTTCTGTCGGTTTGGTGTTACAAATATCAAAACAATATATGTGTGGATAACAAAAATAAATCCGTCATAAACTAAACTGGAAACTTATACTTATGTATCATTTATTGTGTTAACACTGTAAATTTGCCAGTTTTTTAACCCGCACCGCCTAGTGGTTAAAACACGTTATTGAATTGTTTTGTTGAATATGTTATATTTGATGAACAAATTAAAATATTAAGCTCCCATGTCATGGCCATTTCTACTGATCATTATTCCATTGTTGAGGTCTACTAGAATAGATTTACATTGTTAAATTTTCCAAACTCACGTTGGTTTCTCATACAGCATCTCTGTATAGTATGTGTATTCACATGGTATTCACTCTCTGTCCTAAACGCCCTGTGAGCTCACTGTGCTCTGATGTGTGTTTATGTGTTACAACGGCGTTTGGTAGCAACCAGAAAATGACACCAGTAATGACAAACAGATGAGAATGCTGCAAGGGGTCTGGGTGCCGTGTTGGAGGGACGTTGCGGGGCTCGCTGCTCCGCCCTTTGAGACTCGAGGAGCCGACAGTGTGAGCTGTATATTACTGGTGTCGTTTCCTGGTTGCTGCGTGGGGTCTGCGAGACAGCGAGACACCGCGAAACTCAGCCTGAACTCAGCCTGAGCACACACACGTGAGTGTGTGGCGAACTGTGTGAGGAGTTCCACGGATTGGTGGGGTATTAACTAACGTATTTTATATTGTAGAATGAAACAAACCTTATTTCAGGATAACAGGTAAATATATGCATTGTTTTTCCCTTATGTAATATCTGCACTCTCCGAAATCTCTTTTTTGGTTTTCATCTAGATTTATTACTTTGGCTTTTATCTTGTCTTTGACTCAGCCGAGCGTTTGGTTGTGCTTTCACCTACAAGTCTGAAACTCGGTTGACATGACATGACATGTTGTCATGATGGGACGCACAAAAAATCAGCACGAGGCATATCGTAAACCCAACAGGAAGTTGGACATCTTTTTTTTAATCTTCAACTTTTGCCCTTTTCAGTGCCCGCGCCAAAACCATATACTCATTCAATCAGGCTCCAATTAATGAGATCTCGTCCTCTCAAGGCTCAGGTGTCTTACCCGTTGTCCTGTCGCACCGGGACGAAGCCCTCAGAGTGGATCACACACTGTCCGTTGGGCAGGACCGCAGACTGCTGCAGCTTCTGGGTGTCCCTCCTCTCCGATATGCCCTGAAGGAGGCGCAGCTCCCCAAAGTTTCCGGCCAGGGCCTCAGGCGAGCTCAGGCTGCTCCGGCCTGGGTGGCCTTGGGCGGAGGTCATCTCCATCTCCGGGTTGTTTTTGTTCTCCAAGTACATGATGAGGCTAGCAGCAGAGGAGGAAGAATTCAGATTGATTATCTCAAAATAGGTCAAATGAAATGTCACCTGGGGGCAGCAGAAACAAACATAATGTCGTAATATCACTTTGTAACTGTAAGGCTAACATCCGGCAGATATTGAGCAACATCAGCATTCATTTATAAACATGTTTCTGAAATATAATTAAATTCTCTGTCTTTTCTCTGTATTTGGTCTCCGTCAACCAGCTATTGTCTTTTAGCTTGATGCGGCTAACATTTTAGCAAAGTGTGCTTATAACCATCTAGCAGATATTGAGCAACATTAGCATTCATTTAAAATCATGTTTTTAAACACCCGGTTAATATAAGTCTAAAATTCTGTCTCTTTTAGCTCTGTTTTTGGTCTCCACCAACAGACTCCTGAGAGAAGTATCTGTCTCTCTTTAAAGCTACTACTAGCTTTGTCTTTCTCCCATTGGTAGGTAGGTAACTTAGGTAGTTAGCAGTAGGTAGCTATTTTCGCTCGTAACATCTCCCTGTAGCTGCTAACGCTGAGAGTAGTGCACTAAAACAGTTCAGTTAAATTCTGGAAAACCAAAACAATTAACTGAAATAAACCCATCACTGTCATGTTATCTCCTTTTAGCTGTTTTCCTAAAAGTTGCTTATCAACACATCCAGTAGATACAAAGCTATATTAACATATATTTATATGTTTATTCTTTCTCTTTCAGCTTTAGTTACAGGCTGGAAAACCAAAAAAAGAAATATCACACCTCTGTCATATTATTCCCTATAGGCTTGTAAACAGTTTACAAATCAAGCAGATATGGAGCAACATCGATTTATAATCATGTTTCTGACCATCCAATTGTAGCTTGGTTATGGTCTCCACCAACTTCTGAAGGAAATACAATTATATTAATCTTTCTAGCGCTAATATGTAATGCTAGCTGTCAACTTTGTCCATCTGCAACTTGGTGCTGGGTAGTGAATGTTCTGAGTTTGAGTTGTTCCCCCTGCAGCCAGGGCCGGACTGGGACAATAAGTCAGCCCGGGAATTATACACCCAGTCAGGCCACTACCAGTTTTTTGTGCCATTTTGCTGGATCTATTTGTCAATATTTACAGCGTTGCTGCCCGTAGTGATAGCCCTCTAAATCTACTACCCAAAAATAAACATATGGACATGGGTTACTATTTAAAAAAAATTGCAAATCTATTTAGGAACCTATGTGAACATATTTTAAGTGGGGGTGGACCTCAACTCCTATAGGGGGGTCCGGGGGCATGCTCCCCCGGTAAGATTTGTTTTAATGTTGGACTTAAATGCATCAATCTGGTGCACTTTGAGGGGGAAATAAAGAGACTACACCCATATGAAACATAACTGTATATATTTAAATAATCATAAAATCATAAGAACATGGCCGTAACCAATAACATACCATATCCAATATGGAAAAACATTGAAACTTGTTTATTTATTTGTTTTTGGTTCATTTATAGTTGTGAGTGTGTCTGTGCTCCTGAACCAGCCTCACCTGTCTCCCTCCTCTGCCCCCTCTCCCTCCTGCTCCTCTTTGAGGCAGCAGCAAAGACTAGTTTTAGCTCTCAACAAGTTTTAATAGTTTATCTTACCTTTTTTCACCTAGTTAACGTTTTTTTATTATTATTCATCTATATTTTACTAATCACTCCCCCCTCAAATGGAAATATGTGTTTACATAAATGGTGACCAAACCGTTTGAGACCCACTGGGATAACTTAGACTAAGTTAACTATCTAAACACTCAGAGTCCTTTACCTCACCTGAGCTGAGGTTATCAGTCTCTCAGTCTGACAGGAGAGGACTCTCCTCCACCTTGTTGTTGAAAAAGCTCCTTATATCCGTTAGCGCAGCTAGCTAGCACCGGATGCTAACAACAACAACAATACACGTAACCGGTGCGCGTGCTTTATCTCACTCGCTCGCACCACACATAACACACACCCTCCCGAGCTTGAATGACACACAGAGACCAATCGAGGGCATTAGTATGATCTGTATGAAAGTGGCCATGTCGGCAGGCCACATCATGTAGACAGCCAGTCACCCTCTGTGAGGCAGAGTCAGACCCACATTTGCGCAGCGTTGCGTTCACAATACATAGGCCTACATAAAAAAAAAAAAGTCCTCAGGCCAGCAGGCCAGGCCATCGGGAAACCTCCCGGTCCTCCCGATGGCCAGTCCGGGCCTGCCTGCAGCTGCTGATGCTGAGAGTATTGAACCATCAGTGGACAATCCAAAAGATCTACTGAAACGAAGGCAACACTGACATATTATCAACTATTAGCTATTTACAAATCACACACTTGTTAGCAACCGCCGTTTTTAAATTCACCAGTGGGGTATTTACTGAGGTATTTTATATCGTAGAATGAAATGTGTTAACCACAAACCTTATTTCAGGATAACAAACAAAAACACATTCAGAAAATGGTAAACGGACTGTACTTACACTGAACAAAAATATCGAGTGGCCCGTGGTGGTGGGGTTATGGTATGGGCAGGCGTATGTAATGGACGACGAACACAGGCCACTCGATTCACAACATTACCCTAACCCTAACCCTACCCCTCACACCAGATACTGCCTGGTTTTCGGACCCCCCCAGACCCCCCCCAATAAAGCAAAACTGCACGTTTCAGAGTGGCCGTTTATTGTGGCCAGCCTAAGGCACACCTGTGCAATAATCATGCTGTCTAATCAGCATCTTGATATGCCACACCTGTGAGGTGGGATGGATTATCTCGGCAAAGGAGAAGTGCTCACTATCACAGATTCTTTCAGATTTTTGAACAATATTTGAGAGAAATGGTTATTTTGTGTATATAGAAAATGTTTTAGATCTTTGAGTTCATCTCATAAAAAATGGGAGCAAAAACAAAAGTGTTGCGTTTATATTTTTGTTCAGTGTATATATAACTTTATCCAGTCTTTACGACCCCTCAAAGCGCTTTACATACTACAAGTTATTCACCCTTTCACACCTCATTCATACAGAGCAGTGCCACTTGCTCTAGGAAGCTAACATTCACACACACTCACACACTGTTGGCCATCAAGAGCAACTCAGGGTTCAGTATCTCACGCAAGGATACATCGACATGTTGACTACACGGGCTGGGATCAAACCAACAACCTTCTGGTTTAAAGACGACCGCAATCCCTCACAGCTACAGCCAAAAACAACGACATGATTCCCTAACTCACCGTAGATACTAGCTACTCTATGTCAAAAGTATTGGTATCAATATCAACTATTCTCGCCCTGTGATCGTTTATATTGAATCAAAATTATAATCGCTCACATTTTTCAGTTGTAAATTAAACAGTCAGTTATAAATTACTGTACAAACAACCCACTGATGATGTGAAATCTATGGTTTGATAGCAGCTTTGAACTTCCTCATCAACAGTAATGCATTGCAGCATCACATCAGAGCACAACTCACTTTCCTCACATCACTAACTTTCCTCTCCCCGGGCAAAGGGAACAAGGATCTGCTTCACAAAGGACGTACTGTTGTCGGCTTGATTTGCTGCACGTAAAACACCACACCTGATTCCAAACGCTTTGTGATGTAACTTCAGTCACGCTCCTCTGACCCAGAGGCAGGCCATCAAGCGTTATAACAGGGACTGATTCAGTGTATCCAGAGTGCACAGCGGGGGGTCAGAGGTCAGCTACAGAAGACATGTGGGCCGACACAAAGGCTGCATCAATTCAGAGGATTATCGCTCACATGAAAAGCAACAGGAACTCACGCGTGATGTTAGTGCCCTGTGAGATCACTCCTCATGAGGAGTGAGACTACAGTCTGAGAGGAGGCCCAACACTGATCCCTCCAACTATTTACAGTGTTTAATGTTCACCAAGAAATATAAGTAACAACCCCTATCACATTTCACATGATGACTTAATCCCTTGGTATATTTATACATAGTTATTAAAGCAGCTTTCAAATTGATTCATTGATTATGATTTTAATTAAATGCCTTACTTTTATTAATTAATTTTTTTTTATTTTTTTTTTTGTAAGAATGGCTATAAGGAACCAAATTAGTTTTCAGTAAAAAAATATATTAAATAAATATTATAAACGAGATATTTTATTATAAATATTATATATAAAGTATATTAATTGGATATATTTTGCAAATAATTATTATTCATTAATAATTGCTACATTTAAATCGATTTACTTGTTTTTATAATTAACATACAATGAGAACCTCTTCATAAGTAATGCACAATTTATTTGCATCTCATGATTTATTATGAGGCTTTAAAGTTGCATAATTGATCGTAACCTCTAACATATAATATGTGTACATATATTTATTCTTATTAAATGTTTAATGTTGTTTATTTTTTACATTTATGTGTGTTTTATTTTTGAAGATTCTCAATAAGGACAGACATAGTCAACATTTATTTTATTGTATTTTAATTGTATTCTTATTGTATTTATTTCACTTTTTTTGATATCACTCTTTTTAATTTAATTTATATTTAATTTTGTTTGTTTTAATTTGTTTTTTCTGTATTTATTTCATTTTATTTTACTTAATTTTATTTTTATTTTACATTCTATCTTGTACATTTACAAAAAAAAATTATTAGTTGATATTACTACACTTAAATAGATTTCCCCATAATTATTAATGACTGACACGAACAACCTCTGAAGTAATTGAAGGACATGAAATGAACCGATCCTTTCTTTCTGCACAGACAGTAACGTCAGGCTGGTGTTGGACTCTCACTAAGGTCCCTATCCAATGCTTGTGATGACGGTCACAGAGAGGAGAGATGCTTTCTGTGTTCTCCTGCCTGTGGGCGAAGAGAGACGACAAACACAAACTGTTTGCTTTATTTCTCCACCCTTCGTTCACAGCAGTAATTGATTCACGACGGACATCAACAAAAGTAATGGCTGCGACGAAAGGATTTTACGTGTTAACACCACCGTTTGTCCTTCAATTTTCAACTTGTCTGAAAACATACCATCCATTCATGCACCGTTGGTGAAAGGGATTTGTGTACGTACTACACTGCACAGGAGTATTAGGACGTAATGATTAAACCCCCTTTAACAAAGCCCACTAGTGTAATACACTGGTGTAAATCCATCATGCAGAGAACGTAAAAGGACTGAAAGCAACTGCATTTATTCTGTGATCCATTCCTCTTTCTAGATACTGTCAACTTTTGCATATTTATCTGTATATTTGTGCACATTTTTGCACAATGCTACCTCTGAAAAACCTTCACAGCACTTCCACTTTGAGTAATTTCTTGTATTTGTCTTAATTATTTATTTATTTATCGTTGGTCATAATTTGTTCTTCTAATTTTAAAATGGGTTATTTTTAATATTTTTCACATTCAATATTTTTTTTTAAATATATTAAATAAAATGTTATATATTTATACAATTATTTTCTCTTACTTTACAGCTTTATTCCTCTTACAGTGTTTGTGTACGTTTGTGGAAAATTCCCTTCATGTTCTTTCCGATAACCCTGATTCTGATTTAAATGAAATGTATGAAAGTGAGATGGACAGAAATGAAAGTAATGAGACTTACCGTTAGAGATGAAAGTGTTTTAAAAGATGATGATGAGGAAGATGATGATGATAATAACGTTTTTGCAAGATGGACCTCCAACAGAAAACCCTTCACGCTGATTATCCTGAGGAAGTGCTGCAGATGATGTTAGCTGTGATGATGAGGAGGAGATGTGAAGCTTCCTCTCAGCTGCTGCGTGCAGAAGGAGGAGATGATGCTGAACAGCGAGGGTGAGGAGGAGAGGAGGAGAAGGAGAAGGGGGAGAAAAAAGAGGAGTGGCACTAAAACAATCTCCCATTCAATCACTCTCTCCACCTTTTTACAACCACACTCCCCACGCTGATTAGCCCCCTCCCCCTCTCACATGCACTACAAATCCTGCAGAGAAAAGAACGACAGATCCTTGAACCAAACAAAGTTTCAGTCTAAAAATCAATAAATAGTATTTATTTACTACTTTGTTTTATTTATATTGTCCATACATACATGTACTTTGTTCAAAATACAAAAATACAAAACAAAGAAAATGCCCTGTAAGATTGCCTTAGAAAAAGAAAACAATGAAAAATAAAGAAAGCAAATAAAAAAACATTTCAATTTGTATATATAATAATCATATAAAGGGTAAATATAATACACAGCAATAACATTACAATGATCAAATACATTAAGATTTAAAATACAATTATAAGAAAATCGCCTAAAAAAATTCATTTAAAGGTCCCATGTCATGCTTTTCCGGTTATTACCCGTCCCCTTGTGTGTTATGTAGGTTTTTCTGCATGTAAACGGTCTGCAGAGTCACAAACCCTCAAAGTGCACCCTGTAGCGAGTACAACTCTAACACAGAGAAGACCTGTCTGTGCTGCCCCAGAACGCCTCGTTGGACATTTATCTTTTTCCATTGTTTTCTTCCTGAGTACTGTGACGTGCCCATACCCAAATGGACCCATTGGTCCAAATAGACCAATCCCTGGAGCCGTTACGTTACGTCCGCGGTGCCGCTACGTCCGCGGTGCCGTTACGTCCGCGGTGCCGTTACGTTAAGTCCGTGGAACAATCATAGGGAGGGGGGGGCAGGAGCTCCAACAAGCCGTGTAGGACAGAGAGTGAATACACATACTATACAGAGATGCTGTGAGAAACCAATGTGAATTTGGAACATTGCTCAGTATAAATCTATTCTAGTAGACCTCAACAATGGAATTATGATCAGTAGAAATGGCCATGACATGGGACCTTTAAATAATCATACTTTTAAAAAACATTAAAAGATTTTGAGTTAGATTCAAGCTGATTGGTAACATGGCGTTTTCACCTGGTAAAGATGACTCAAACGGTGATATTTATGCTTATTTATTTTGTAACTATCATGAACTACCAGCTTTTTGGGTGATTTTGACATTGATGTGAGTTTTTCTGCGAGCTGTCACATGCTCTAAGCCCACCCTGCTGTAACAGGGTGGGACAACTCCACAGATTTAAAGTCAGAAAGTTCAGACAGGTCAGCAGGGGTCGAGGGAAAACGTAACCCGGGCGGTGGTGGCGAAGTCGATAGGGACTTGGCTTGGCAATTGGAAGGTCACCAATTCAAGTCCCGGCAAGACCAAGTGCTACCGAGGTGTCCCTGAGCAAGGCATCGTTCCCTACACAGCTCCCCGGGTGCCGTTCAAAAATGACAGTCCACTGCTCCTAACACAGGATGGGTCAAATGCAGAGAAACAATTTCCCCACGGGGATTAATAAAGTATATCAAAATAAAAAAATAAAAATCAAATCACTTTGGTCTGCAGATAGTTTAAATGCAAAAGTGTATTAAATTGATGCATATGTTTCTAAGTGGGCAAAAGAAAAAACGTCTTGCTGATGAATGGAGGTAAATGGAAAAACGATATGAAAACATCTGTTTACAAACTCTCACACAACTCGTGCAGCACAGTCTCATTTATTACATGTATCTCTCTATCTATTTAAAGAGGCCCTATTCTGCTTTTGTTCTATAGGTTTGTCTGCATGTAAAAGGTCTACAAAGGCTTAAATACCTGTGTTCCCTCCAGTTTCTCTCCCACTAACACAGCTAACCAATCAGAGCAGACTGGGCTCTGGTTTCAGACAGAGGGTGAAAATAGGTGCTGCAGCTCAGGCAGTATGAGAAAAATAAAGAGCTTTTTGAACATTTAAGCATGGAGACATGTCACAGGAGAGACACTAGATACAAATATGAACCTGAACATTTGCTGAAATTGCCCTCTTAAAAGTGTCCAAGTCTGACATTTACAAATATTACATGATAATGCAACAGCAGCTACATTGGATATAAGGACACAAAGTTTCAGATTGAAGGAATATGGAACAAAAATCGCTTTTGAATCACAAATTCCAACGAAAGTAGACAACTGGGATTTGGTTTAAATGGGGGGTGGGGCTCTAAAACAAACTTAGGGTGTGAATCTGTCATTTATCCTGTTAAAACATTTGCCTTTGAGTCAACACAACTGAGCAGATTAGGATTTTGACATGAGTAAAATCAAGTGAACCAGATTAATGTAATCAAAGTAATTACAACCCTCTCACCCCTCCGTACAAAAAATGATCCAGTCCACTGAACAAAATCCCAAAATATACATCCATTAACTTCCCCCAAAACTGCTCTCTGATCCCACTGTGTTTCCAGGACTCTCCATTCTCAGAAATTAAGAAACAATGTTGTCCATTGAGCAGGGGAGGAGTCACCTAGTCTGCAGGGAGATAAACCAGGAGGATGTCCGGGGGGGGGGGGGGTGCGCACTGTGTGATCACATGTAGCGCCGGGGGGGGGCAGTGACGCAGGAATCATCTCTGCATTCACTGACCTGAGGGTTCTTAAGATGCTTGGTCAAAGTTGGAGACACAGGACCATCAGGCCTCTTTGTCTAACTCCCACATGAAAGTCACATGCTGCTGCCGCCTCTCTTCTCTATCTCACTTTCTGTCTTTCTGTTTGCCGAGCTGAGCAGCATCCTAACTCATTTCCAGGTTTTTCTCAAGTCGTGTGTGAATTTTCCTTTCTTTTGCACAAATAGCTTAAAAACGAAATGATGATGAGCAGTCCAAATGTAAGTTCAAGGTGTTGAAGGGGAGCTGTGTGTCTGTCAGTCAGCTTGCTAAACCAGATTAACGCAGCGTCCACACGGCGGCGTGCGTTGAAGCTTGCCAGCGGGCGTGTCTGAAGCTCGACCAACAACCAATCGCATGAATCTCCCGCCCCGGACACACAAGCACACGGTTTGATTGGCTAGAGCTTGTTCTGGCAAATTATTTGATTGGCTGGCGCTTCCGTCGAAGCTTCAAAAGTTGAACATTGTTCAACTTAAATTTTAACCGATTTCCGGGTTTTAGGACTCAGTCAAAGAGGTTATTAATTGCCCGTCAGCAGAATTAAGAAAAAACGACTTGCTTGATTTTCATGAAACTTGCTGGAAGTCATAAACAATACATCCAAGTTAGGGTCCAAGTAAGGCCTACGCATTTTGGTTATGGCTGTGTAAGACTTCCGTTGAAAGTGTCACTCGTTTCTTATTAGCTTTTAACTGCCTGCTATCAACGATGGGCATTATGTCCAAAAGGATGAGCATGATTTCTGATAAGCATTCAAAACACAGAACAGCTGGTGAGGCTGATGGCAAGGTCATTATTTCAGCAGATTGGACACGTTAAAATGTTGACCTGACGGTGGTGCTAGAAGAAAAGTTATTTCGATTCATCCTGAGGGGAAAATTAAGTTTTGTATAACGTGTAATGCCAATCAAATAAATATTTGCTACGACATGTCACAAGGAAAAGTCAAGTATCACCGACATCTTTATGACTTATCGTCAGAGAATTATGAATCTGTTGGTGAAGAACTTCAATACAACCATATGTTTTGTAGGCCAATCTTTACTACCCATGAATTCCCATCTCTCCCTCCTTCAATGCACTATTGTAACAGTAAAGCCAACTTTTGCCTTTAGGATATTATCGCACCAAACAGACACTTTCCTGGAAGCATTGAGTCTCTCTATATGACACACTCATATTTATCACATGCCCTTGCACGTAGAGCACGCCCACTTTAAGGCAGTGGTGGAGCTCAGGGGAAACACAAATACAGAAATCTCTCATGTCAGAGGTTCTCACAGTCTTAGACTCAGGGCCTCCCCTCAGACTAAGCTTGATCAAAGGCGCCAACTCACCCCCCTTAAACTTAGTTTACTCGCTTAGTGTGGCTGAATGCCTATAGGATCATGAATATGATATTTGATCCCTAAGACGCTCTAGAGTTAAGCCTAGGAAGTGTAATATGGCCGTTTGAAATAACTTCACATTACACCAAATATATAAAAACTCAGTCTTAAGGTATTTACACGTTTATTTTTGTTCTGATAGTGGGAAAACTGTAAAATTCCACAACATGAGGGCATCCCATGATGAAGATTCAGGCTCTTGGTGAAGACTTGGATGCAATAATTGTTGAGCCTACATGTAAATAGTCCAGAGGCCATCAAAGGGAAGATTGGAAAACAACACACTGGACGCTGCACTAGGTCAGAAACCAGAGGAGACTGTGAGGTCCACCGCAGACGGACCACTTTTGGACAAAATGTCCTCTCCATTAAAGGCAGCTCATTGTGGAATAGCCTCCCTACTGAGACACGGGACTGTCCCTCTCTCAATAGTTTTAAAGGTCAACTCAAAGAATGTTGTTGAGAAACAAACATCTGTGCAATCACCGCTAAATGCACTTTAACACGGGGGTATCTCCTCTTGCACTTTATGTAGCTCTTGTATCATGTCTTGCACTTCATATGTCGTTGCTGCTACATTGTACTGCCATGTGGTAAATGCTTGTATGCTGCTCATGCTCTTTCTGCATGTCATGTATTTATTTTTGCTGTGTATATAAATGTCATGTTCTTAAACGTTGTATGTGAGGGGGATGGAAATTAGCTCAAAGCTAAAAATCCGGCATATTTACATTTGAAGCATTATTTTTTTAAAGTAATAATAATAATAATACATTTTAATTTTAGGCGCCTTTCATGACACCCAAGGACACCGTACAATTTGTGATAAAAAAAAGAAAGAAGACGCTAATAGGCAACAAAACATGATAAAACCCAACTCAAAACCCACCTGTTCAAACTGGCATTTTCTCTATAATCTGTACCCTGTCTCCTTTTGTAGTCAATTTC